GATGTTCTTTGAATAGATATAGTCTAAGTAGAAATCTTAAACACCTCTTTAAGAAAACAAGAGTGACAGATCGGTTTTCTAAGCAAAGACAATAATATTGGTCAAGTCTGATGTTAACATTCCTAATAGTTTTTACACACGAAGAGGAAGATAAAAAAAACCCTTACCATTTCATGAAGAATCAACAAAAACATGATTTATTTACAAAAGAAACCTTATCCCTCAATAGCAATATCAGATCTGACTACATGCAAAAGCAGTTATCTCTTTCCGCACTTTCCGATTTAAAATTCAAAAATAACAAATCTTTCATTAGTCTCCTTTACCCTGGGTACCAGACTCACTATATAAAATAATAATAATAATTTTATTTCATATATAGTGAGTCTGGTACCCAGGGTAAGTCTCCTTATGCTGCTCGCGGGTGATAAAAACTCAAATGCTGCTGTCATTGGAATTACAGAATCAAAACTTTATGACACGATATCTGACAGTGAAGTTAAAATTGACGGATATGAACTGAAAGATCTGACAGAAATAGACAAGGTGGGGGTGTTGCTTGTTATATCAGAAAAGATCTGTCTTTCAAGTTAAGAAAACATTTTTCAGCAGACGTAGAAAATATATTTCTCGACATATTTTTTTCAAAATCCAAACCAATCCTAGTTGGCATCCTTTACAGACCGCCCAACTCAAGTGGTTTTCTTAGAAAACTAAATTTAGCAATTTCAAAAACAGAAAATTTTCATAATCGAGAGGTTTTTGTCTAGGGGGACTTGAATATTGACTTGATAGACAGTAAAAGGAGTAACTGTAATGGGATAAAGCGCTACAGGGAATCCTGCTCCCTTCACGGACTTAAGCAACTAATCCAAGAAGCAACAGGCATAACTGAAAAATATGAAACTCTATTAGATCACATAATTTCAAATTCAGCTCAAAATGTTTCTCAGCATGGTGTTCTTAACCTAGGCTTATCTGATCACCAAATGATCTACTGTACAAGGAAAAGTACTAGAGCCAAAAAATCATGATCATAAATACATCAAAATCCGTTCAATGAAAAATTACAACAGAGAACGTATTCTAAAAAACTCAAATTACTTGAGTTCCCAAATTTCTTTGAGTTTATTAATATCAATGCTGCCTATTCTCACTTCTTACAACTGACTACTTCCGTAATCGATGAGATAGCTCCATTGAAAGAGATTCGCGTGAGAAGCAACACTCAGAAATGGATGGACGCGGATGTTCTTGAAGGGATCATGATTCGAGACAAGCTGCTTTCCAAATTTAAGATCATGCTAATTTCAGAAAAGCCCGAAATAACAATTTGTCACTTAAAAAAAAGGGAACAGAAATTGTGTTGTTAGCAAGCTAAATGAAAATATTGGCAAACAAAAAGAATTATTGAAAAGCCTATAATCACTTGGTCTACCTTCCAAACAAGATAAGCCCTCAAAGATCTGCCTAAAAATGGATGGGAAACACTGTTTTGATGATAAAATCAACTCTAATATTTTTAAGAATTTCTTCTCCAATTTAGCTACAGAGCTTGTAAAGAAGCTACCTAACCCACCTCGTAGATTTGGTATAGAAAGTGTTAAAAAATAATACAAAAAGCTGAATCTTGAAAATGAAGGATTGAAACTTCACCACACCAACCATGATAACGTCTTTAAACTCCTGGAGGGAATAAATCCTTCAAAAGCAGCTGGAACCGATAATCTTGCAGGGAAATTCCTCAAGAAGAGTGCATTAATACTAGCAACACCAATTACGGAGCTATGCAATCTTTCAATTTTCCTAGCATGTTTTCCCGACGATTGCAAACAAGCAAAATTGAAACCTCTCTTTTAAAAGGGGAACAAAGATGAACAAAAAAATGATCCACCAATCTCACTTCTGCCGCAAATTTCTAAAGTAATTGAAAAAAGTTGTACACGAGCAGATACAAAAATACCTAGATAAAAACAAAATTCTCTATCATTACCAATCCGACCTTCGTCCCTACCATTAAACCGACACATGTTTGTCATATCTAAGTGACAAAATAGTTCAGGGTTTTGAAAATAGTAAGTTTACGGGCATGATATTAATAGACCTACAAAAAGCATTTGACACAATCGACCACGAAATTTTCCTCGAAAAAATGAAGCACCCTAGCTTTGCTGACTCAGTCATACTTTGGCTTCGATCATATCTAACTAACCGAACTTTCTTTGTAAACATAGGAAAAGATTCCTCATCACCTGGTGAATTATCGTGTGGTGTTCCCCAAGGCTCTATTCTTGGCCCGCTAATTTTCCTTTTATACGTAGATGACATGCCACAGGCAGTCGACCGTGACTTACTTCTGTATGCAGAAGATTCCTGTCTTGTATTTGGAGACAATAACGTGAATGAAATAGAAAAACAACTAAACAGAAATTTCAATGCTACTTGCGATTGGTTTGTTGATAACAAACTAAGCATTCATTTTGGAGAGGACAAAACAAAATCGATACTTTTTGGTAGAAAGAATAAACATACGGACAGAAAAAAACTGGACATCATAAGAGGCGACATTAAGATTAAACAATACAACTCAGTCACATACTTAGGCTGTATTCTCGACGAGGACCTGTCCGGGGAATCAATGGCTTCAAGAATCCTAGGCAAAATCAATGGCAGGCTAAGATTTCTTTACAGAAAGCAACATTTTCTTGACTTCTCCCTTCGTAGATTGCTAGCAAACGCACTAACTCAGCCCCATTTTGACTATGCAAGCAGTGCTTGGTTTCCATACTTAAACAAAAGATTGACCAAAAGAATTCAGACAGCTCAAAATAATGTTTCAGGTTTTGTTTGAATCTAAATAACAGAGCACATATAAGAAACAAGGAATTATCAATTGGCTCCCCACGAAAGAGAGATCTGAACAATGAATGACTCCAAAGGTTTTCAATTTTTTTTGATAATTCAGCCCCACCTTACTCTAAGCTCCTTAATAGAAGGGGGGGACGCTTATTAATTTTTTTCTGACCCCCCACCACCCGGACCCTATTTGGACCCTCCCCGTTTATTAATTTTTGTATGCAGTTATTCATATCCCTTATTTCATTTGTCCTTTGATCTTGCAGGTGTGAAATTTCTGCAAAGTTTCTCTTAAATGAAGAGGTTGCATTGTACAAAAGTGTTAACATTAGAAAAGGAGTGACATCCTAAACAAATTACATAGGCCTGGCTGATGTACACAATGATAATTAGCCTGCTCATTTTAGTAGTACAACAATGCATTATTACATGGTGATAATTGTCATTTTACTATCGATTGTATTCAGAAGAGAATTTCCTTTGACCCCAAAAAAGAATCATCACATGATTTTTCAGATTTTTCACATTCCCGACACCCCCCCCCCGCTTACTAGGACCCCCCGCTTATTTATTTTTTGAAAAATTTCTGACCCCCCCCCAACTATCAAGACCCCCTTCTATTAAGGAACTTAGAGTACATGTCAGAGATGTTCTTACCAGTTGGCCAGAACAGAATCATTCGAAGATCTAAAAACAAACTTAATCAACCTTTCCAAAAGAAAAAAAAACATAGGGCAAAATTGCCTCTCATATATTGGTCCCAAAATTTGGAACAATCAACCGTCAAAACTAAAATCTGCAAAAAACGTCGATAGTTTCAAATACAAGATCAAAGATGAATTATTTGATGATCTACTAAGTCAGGAGGATAGCCCCTACATATTTTATTTAAAACCCAAATTCAGCCACCGAAAAGGTTCTAGTTATCATTTTTCCAGAATTACTTTTTTCCTAGTTTTGGATACAAATCAATTTTTCATGTACACATTTTTTTATAACACCTCTGGAGGTACCATTATGGAAATAAGATCGTATTGACCTTTTTAATGCTATCCCTGCCATTTTTAACCTGGGGTGTTTTTAACTTCTATCTGTAAATTTCATATATCTGTAATTAGATCTTTTTTTTCTTCTTAATTTTAAATTGTAATTATTTGATGGCAAAATTATACATACATACATACATACATACATACATACATACATACATACATACATACATACATACATACATACATACATACATACATACATACAAACATACATACATACATACATACATACATACATACATACATACATATGTGTTTCCACCAGAACGTCGCTCGATGCTCGAACCATAGTTAATGCTCGAACAGTTCCACAAAATCACCTCCACTAAGCACTTTAAGCGAAATTATAATAGAAGGTATAGAGCAATGGGTTTGGTTCCATAGTGTGGCAGCAACAACTTTGGATAATTATAATAAATTATGCCGCACCAAGGAAACTGTGCAGTTGTTGTAATTAAACTGGCCAAAAACACATCTACGACTGTAACCTCTCAATTTAAAAGACTTTTTTTCTGATTTTGCAAAATAAGTTAACAAAACTGTGTGTTTCTATTTACAATTGCTGTGTAAGGTGCCATTATAAGGACAAATGCTATATATACCTGAAGTAGGGATAACTGTGGAAAAATCAAGGATTTTTTGAAAAACTTGTATAAATTGAATATTTTGTAATTCAAACGTTTTGAGCATCCCCAGGCAGTTTGAATTGCAGAGAGTTGACTGCATTATTTAGCCTTAAGTGAGAACATAAATCTAAGGTTAACTTAAAAATTAACGAAGAGGCAGGAGCAATTAAGGATGGCACTAATGCACAAGCAGGTGATCACTTACCTCAAATGATGAGGCCTTTTATAGTTATATACTTAATCCAATTTTAGTCATTGTGTGCAATTTGTGTTTTAGTAAGATATTGTATGTTGAAGGATGCTAGTGATATGAAAACTATATATGCTAAACAGGACATTCTTTTTGGCAGAAATTTTGTTTGGTAAATGTTTGCACCCTCTATGGAACTGAAGCCACAATGCCCCTTCTGATGAAGACACTGAAATCCTTCAAAACAAACTAATGAACTAAAAAAATCATACACAATTGGAGCCAGCATTTGTTTTATTATTCTACATGTTCTTAAGTTGATAAATATTTACAAACAGAAGTGCATGAATGTACACACACCTCCCAAAAGTATTCGATGGTCTGGCAAAACTTTGGGCCTAATTTTTACAAGTGTTAGCAGAAATGTAAGATCATATTTTGGCAGGAAAATAAAATGTTGGCGTCAGGAAATAAGCAAAATAAAAATATAATCCAGAAAAATGTTGTTTGGATAAAGTATACTGGGAAAATTGTTCTAAAAAGCGGAAATAGTGTTTTTCTTTGGGCACTGGTAAAACCCAAATATGGATGAAGCTAAGTAAATGGTCATCAAGTCTTTACAGCAGGCAGGTCGTTCATATGATGAAAAGTTTTCTTATAGGAGCCAAAGAATTGTAGCAGGGTTTGCGAAGAACCTTGTTTGTCAATTTTAAAGTGATTCCTATTGTCATTCTATAAATATAAGCAATTAACTTTTAATTTTTTTATCAACTTGACCTGGCACAGTAGCAACATTGGCTTCCATTTGAATACTTTTGGGAGGGTAGTGTATATTTCAAGTTATCCTAAACAGCAATTATTCATCAGTTTATAATGGCAATTCTAATTACAAAGATTGTCTCTTGCTTTCTCCTTGCAATTTAATGATACTAAGTATTCTACTGCATGTCTTTTCTGCACCATTTACAGTAACCAAAATTTGAAATCTTCTTACCAATTTCAATCCAGCAAACACTCAATTTTGTGGCAACTAATTGTAGCCTTTATTGCAGATTCCATTATTGGTGAAGTACATTTGTTTTACTTATTGAATATCATATAATAGCACATAAATCAGACCATGATGCCTTACATATAATACTTAAGAAGATGGAATGTGTGAGCATTGTCCATTCCATTCCTTTTTCAAAACAAAAATAAGTGGCTTTAGTTTATTTCCAATTGCTAAGAAGGCTAGGCATTATGTTTACAAGCATTTTTGGTCAGATAAATGCCAAAAGCATAAGTCACTGCTAGATCCATTCTTCCCAAATCAGATATCTTAGAAGGTTTACTACATGAATTTCACATGGTCATTATTCGAGTCAAAGGCAGTTGTCTTGGAGAAATGAGTCCCATCCCCTGGTAGTCTTGACTTTAAGAAATATCCAAATATGGGCAGATACCATCTTTTACCAAGGACTTCAACCCAGTTTTGCTTGAAATTCTTTTGATAATCTTTGATCTTCTTTTTACATTCAAATTGTGTCTGTCCGCGTGATATGAAGAATATTTGGAAAGACATCAAGCAAGTGAATAGAAACATTGCCATACAACAAACTCCACAAACAAATAATATTCCAAGTTGGTGTAAAGAGCAGTAGCCAAGCAGGTAAGCTACCATGGGAAAAACCATCTTCAGCCACGTTTGGGGGCCGAATCCTCCGAGTACAGATGAGAAGTATTCAAAGTCAAACATCATGGTATAGAAAGCACCCAACCACAAGTATAGTGACATGCAGATAAAATACCGGTGGTTTATGTGTCCGACACAGTTTCCAGTGAAAATGCAATGGTGATCACGTTTAAGGACACAGATATCACAAAGGGGGCAGTGGTGACTCCTGGGCGGGGCATTCATGCGGCAGTTATGACAGTAATACCATCCCGGCAATAGAACTGAAGGTAAACTTATCTCCGAGCTTTTAACCGTCGAGTCTGTTAGTATAGTCATGTAAAGATTAGTGAACACCCCAAAAGCGATGAAAAGTCCGTTAAATAAATGAAAATTGTACCAAAATGAAAACGGTTTGTGGTAAATCGGCAAAACGACAAAAAGGTTGAACAGAATTATACCAGTCAATCCGATATGGGTGAAGGAAAATGCAATTCGATCAGTGAGATTTTTTGGCCACACTCTTTTTGGTGACGGCGGCTTTTGATCAACTCCAAAGTCCATGACTTCAATCAGCAGTTGCAAAAGGATTGCTAGAAGCCGAGACGCGACGCAGGGCTGGCTGGCCTAAAAAACTGCACGCATCGGAACCCTGTCTTTGGAAGCAACGCTCAAACAATTCAACTCAATTTCTTTTTTAATTCCGGGGGGTCAAACTTGGAGGAAAATGACAGGGATGTGCATGCCAGGAATAAAAACCATGGCCCCGTCAAGGAATGAAATCCTGAAAACACGAAATCTTTCCTTGAACAGGGGCGAATCCAGAGCAAATTTTAAGGAGGGGCAGTTGGTACTTTTGATTCGACTGCTCTAATTATCGAGCTCCGTGCTAAAATTATTGACTTTGTGCAATATTCAGGTCATTGCGATGAAACATTTTGCCAGAAAGTCAGAAACCAGAGGGTCCATACCAAAGATATATAAGCGATATAATTTTTCTAGGAATTTGAATGCGCATATGGGCTACATGGTAAGGGTGGTTTTCAATTAGGAATGAAGAAATTCACAGATTTATGAAAATAAACTCGTTAATAGAAAGCTGGAAGTATATTTTTACGCGAGATGCAACCATTTTAAAATGACTTCAGCTACAAATCTTTAATTAATGATCCAGAACAGATTTTAGAATGCACCCAAATGTTATTGAAATTTTTAGGGCTAATTTTTGATCATGTATTGCTGCAGAGGGCCCTTTAAGTTTTGACTTGCCTAACCCGACGCCTGCCAAGCCAGAAGATAACTTGCTCCCAAATCACACCCCGAAATTTAAATAACTTGGTATAACACCAAACCGAAAAGTGTTTTCAAATAAAAAAAGCATCTTTTATTTACATGGATGCCAATTTCAAACCCCGAAAACTGGCAGGAGCGTTTCTATCAAATATCTATAAGATTACACCAAATTCATGTCTAAAGGATTTTCGTCGTTCGGCTCCCTAAATGTCGGGCAAAAACTTTGATCAAATACCTATAGTATTCAGTTGAGACAAATGAAAGTGAAAAGGTTTTACTAACGGATCGTCTGGTTGCGGTGAATCATTTGAGAAATATATCTATCATGACATTTGCTGTTTTGTAAGCAAAGCCAAAAATCCTAACTACCTCGCTAGATCGGAAGATAATCTGTCCCAGTGTAAAATACGGTAGAGAACGTGTGGTTGAAGGAAGGATTTAAAATGTATTTTCAATGACTCATCTGAATAGACAAGATTTCCATGATTGGCAAGAGTCGATTATAACACCAAGAAACTTGACAAAGTTTTTTTGCTTTAGCGTTTCAACATTTATATTTAAAATATTGTTGCATTAGACAAGTCTTTATTCACTATTTTTCAAGATCTTTAACGTTTTTTATATAAAGTAAGCTTGCATGATCAACAAATAAAAAGGAGTCCAGTCATAAATGAGGGTAATTTAATTTACAATCTAAAGTGTTTGCATTGATCCGTTTGAATTGCTGCTTAAATTGGTGTTCTTTTTGTCATTATGAAAAACTTCTTCTTAACATTTGGAGTATGATTTAGTGTATAAGGCTTCATTCATTTTAATTTAGATTAGCCACATTAAGAATAAAAGCACAATTTGCAAAAGTTGAGGTAAATAAATTCAAACTAGTTTGATTTTAATCCTGACTTGAAAAATATTCAGACAATCGAAATGCGGATGTCTACGGATGTGAACTCTTTTCTGTACTTTGGTATGCAATTTAAACAAAAGACAGGAGTGAATATGGTTGGACCCGGGCGAATGTCCTCAAGATCTTGTTAGAATATTCTCGCAGGTAAGAATTGCCAAAAAATGTAGCCCCAACCCGCTAGGGTAGCTTTTATTACGTTCCATATGTTGTTGTATGTGTGTTTTTCACATAGCCCGGTAAACATGGCGATCGTATGGTCAACGAACGGGAGGAAGGCCAATAAAAAAACAGGCAAAACATTAAGTTGGCAGGAACTTTTAATATTTTTAAACAAAGGTTTTGGACAATGTGAACTGATTTTATCCACTCTAAATATGATGAACTTTTTTAATTTTGTAATGTTTTAGTAAATCGATAAAATAAGTTAAATAGAGGACCCTCATGAAAAGCACCCTCGAGTGACTGAGACCATCCTCTGTAAATATTTGTCATATTATTATTATTATTATTTTTATTATCAATAAAAATGTTTTCATTATTATTATTATCATTACTATTATTGTTATTATTATTATTATAAATCTTCATCGCCACTTTCGAAGTTCCCGTTCACCCTTGGTAGGGCAAGTACTTCACCACCACATGCTCCAAACACTTCCTCGTCGCTCGATCTTAAGTCTGTTGCCATTCCTGAAGAGCTGTCGTGAAAATTGCGAACTGAAATTCTAACCACTAACCGAATTCCCTCTCTCCGATTCACTCTACTACAATGTTGTTTTCGTTGGGATCGGGGCACGTGTCCACGACTTTACGTCAGAGCCTGAAGCTTGTCTCCAGGCCTCTCCGCCACGGAAATGGAGAAATTTCACACTTCGCATGGTAAATACGGAAAAACAAAAAGAAAAACACAAATTTCGTGTCGATATTCGAAATCAGCACGATGAAAACTACTTGTTAACTGATTTTAATGTTTTACTTCAGTTCCCCTTAAAACCGATGTAATTCCGTATTCAAATCCGATTTGAATAGTGCCAATAATTTGCAAAGCTGGCCTTAAGACAATGGTTCTGTGGCTTAGGCCCTGTCATAGAAGTGGGCCCTGTAGACCTTAGCTTAGATGTTGTTGTCATTAGAAGCTAGAATCAAGGCCAGCAAGAAAAGCTAACCAAAGAATCCCCGAACAGGCAAACGATGTAGAATAAAATGAAAATATAACTCGCTGTAGCTATGTTAACATTCTATTACGTTGCTACTTATCCTGAATTATTCAAACTAAGAAGATTATTGAAAAAAAATTGTTCTACCTATTTTTTCATTTACATAGAACTTTCCAATGTACGTTAAGAACTGTAAATTTTGGAAAAAAATCCTTAGAACAACCCCTGCCTACAATTGCTTGAACAATGTATAAAGCAAAGATTTTGCCTTTATTCTTATACTGCCCAAAAATAGGCATTGAATTTCAGACTTACCCAAGTCCAAGCTCGAAAAAGTTCAAAAACGATCGATGAGAATCATCAAGGTACAAAATGGTGAAATTAGCCTTCCATCCATCAATCATATAGGAATTAATCAATGTGCTTTTGCAGTTTTCGAGAATTTTCATGGTCTTACACCAAGGATAGTAAAGAAACATTTCAGAAGTCTGGACCTCGAAAAGTACACTCGAGAAAACAAATCAAATTTTATGGTGCCTCGCATTAGAAGAAAAACCGGCAAAAGCAATTAATTTTCACCTTATTTGAAAAATGCAAACTCATTTGCGAGATTAAAGAACATATGTAATGATATGATTTGACGCAGAAAACCTGTATGAACAATAACACATTACTACTGCAAGTTTTGTCATTGCAGTCACTTTCAAGGCTTCATGTCTAATCCTAATTCCGATTTCTACCTTTCCATTATAACCGATGGTTTCAATTATGAACTGAAGAACCAAGAACACAAGGATCACTTGACCTCTTCTTCTCTTCGTGAGATGCTCAAAGTTACCAGTTCCTTGAAAATTTACCTGCAGAATAAAATTCTACTGTTTAATCAATATATCTTTTCAAAGCTCTTTTGGGATCTCACAGACAGTTCTAACTCTCTCTAACGTAGGTTTGTGAAAAATTAGATCAGCTCGTCACAAAGTTCGTTCGACAGTGGGTCGAGCTTCCAGTACATCGATATTGAGTGGCATAGCTCTATCATGTAAACACTTTGGTCTTGAACTTACGCCACCTTCCGTGAAAGTTTAACAGGGCCAGACTGTTTTTCGAAACTCATTCAAATCCTTGCCCAACGAAAAGATCAGGTCCCTATGGATGAACACCAATTATGGACCTAATATACAGTTAGACAAGAACACAAAGGCGGTACTGCAATTTTCAAGAGGTGAACACACTGAAAAGCTCAAAACTCAGTTAACATCTCAAGGCTTCATTATTTCATTCCTTCTCGAGCATTCCTACATCTACACAATATCACCCTCTGCAGGTCAAAGTAAACTTCCAAAAAACATCTTCAACTTTACGATAAGGTACCTCAACAAAACACTATCCACAATGAACAACCTCTGCTTATGGAAAATATGCTCTTCTCCAGATTACTCATTCTGCCTTCAGCTTGAATCACTTCTTCACGTCGTTGCGGGATGTAACAATTACCTTGAGCAAGGATGTTTTACTTGGAGGCACGACTCTGCCCTCCATCCACCTCATTGCGTCATTCTTTTAATGAAGCAGAGATGTTTTCCTATTTGCGGACATTCCCTCCTTTTATCAATGCACATCAATCATTTCTGCTGATTCTTTCCGTCCTGATATGCTAATTAAAACTGCTTTCAACTGTCTTTATGTCATCGAATTAACTTTTGGGTTCGAGACTAAAAACGCTCCGTTCCCTTCTAGAGGAACTGCGCCTTTATTTCAAAGAAGTGAAATCTGTTAATCTGTGCATTAGCTGCCTCGGAATCTTTGGTAACTCGCGTAACTCGTTCATTGATTCGTGTGAAGAAAAAAAAATTAGACAACCAAAACATAATTTTGTAATTAAAAAACTTTCAACAATAGTTATCAGCGCATCTTATTTTTCTTATGTATGCGCAACAAGACATAGACAGACCATGAACTGCTCTTCTTCTAAAAATACTGTGAACTCTCATAATTCTTGAAATACGTAAAAACCATTTGTCAATTAGTAGACTTGTCACCAGGCTAGCCGCTAGTAACTACCTTCAAAGAGGTTACTGTTGTAAATAAGCGGAATTTAAAATGAGAATGTTTTCATTATCGAGGATGTGTTTAATTTGTTGAGTCATTCCTAAAAGAAGCATTTATGAATGCAGCTAATGTTGGGAGTGTCTTGAAACTCAAACTCAAAAACATAAATTTTACTTTATTTTTAGAGGGGGTTAAGTCTTAGACCTGAGAGAGGTCTAGGCGTACAAACGAAATGGGAGGGGGACAATTTGCGTCAAAAAGACACTCCCGAAATGTTAGCCTCTTGGTGACGTTCTGCCGTTACTGCGAAGAAGCTTATTGTTTTAATAACCATTGTTCCCAGGTTGCTGTGCGATGCCTTGAATGCATGTGTATATATTTATCATGGCGTCCGTTTTGCTGTGTGATATGTTCTGATCGCACCCCTGGCATGCTAAACTTGGTAGCTTACATGTCCCTGAAGGTAACCTCTTTCACAAATCACAGTGTTTAATTAAATTTATTTGCGATATGCTCAAGGTATCATTTTAGGAGATTTCTGTATGCTGTAAGCGAAATTTGGGCCTAAGCAGAAAGTGTTCACTCAAGTTTAAAACGAATGATAAATGAAGCATGTCTTCAACTGATGAATCAAAGCAACCAGTGAAGCAAGAAGGAGAAAGGTCTGTTCCGTCAGCAGATAAAGCTGCTGGAGTCAATACAACCCAGTCAATGCCATCAACAACGACTTCTGGCCCCAAAGATGCAAAGGTATATAAATATATAGTCATAGCCTAATAAAAAGTTATGAATTTTACATATAGGAGTTCAATTAAAGTAGAACTACATTAGATGTAAGACTTCTTGTACTATTAAGGCCACACCACGCCAATCAAAGTCATTGACTGGGCATGTTTGTCTCTTACTGTGGCATGATGTATTTTTGTTGCAAAAATGTCACAAATTGTTCTAATTTGAATGTGGTAGATCAAAGCTGTATCTAATGGTTTATTTGCAGAAATCTGATCAATTTTTCTTTTACATGATGGAGATCTCATTCAAAATTACCAATATTCTGCAGTCTGTGCTCATGATAAATTGTGTAAAAAGGTTTTGAAGCAACGAGTGTTATTCTCAGCGTTCCTATGCTAGAAACTACATAACGGTGATAATTCTTATAACACAGACATCTTTGCTTTCATTTGTTCTTTATATTTCATTGGGTATCACAAAATGAAAATGATGTTAGCATGCAAATTAAAAAAATAATGTCAATTTGTTTGTGCAAGTACTGCAACTTCTGTATACAGCCTCCTTTAAGGGTTTAAGCTATCATCCTCTAATTACCCCAATGTTGTTGGAAGCAAAATGAAATGATGCTGATTCTATGTTTCGTCTCCTCCTCATTATTTAGTTTTTGTTTGTTATTTTCACCCATTGTGGTGCTCTTAATCCTGATCTTTTACCAACTTCATGGGAAGCAATCTTGAGAATCCACGAAGCAGTCTCGCTTTCATGGCATTTTCATTCCTTACATATTATGTCAATGCCTTTTCATCTGACATTACTTTAGCAATTAGAAAATACTTTGAACCAGATGGAATAAACATTTGTCTCTTTTAAGCCCCACTCCATGAAGTCTAAGAAGCCTCTTCCCGCAGTGTATTAGTGTAAATTTTTTTTTAAGTGAAAATACTGCATAGAGAATACCATGCCACTTTTTACGCTCAGTTTTTTTCTTGTATTCCCTTAAAGTATGGCAATAAATTTGAAATAAATTTTTCTAGCAAATCTATTTTATATTCTAACTAATAGGTATCAAATTTCTACCATGCATATAGCCAAACAATCTGCTTACTAGACTTCAGTGGATTTCAGTCTAAATTTTACTCTATGATAGCTATGTTGGATTGCTCTAATCACATAAACACTATCCTACAGAACAATGCACAACCAAGCCCATTTATGGGAAACTATAAAGAAAGGCTTTTGCATGAGATATAGACAACATTTTGCATGCCATTTGCCCTTTAAGTCTTTTTCTGTAAACAAAAAGGTTAAGAAATGACAAAACAATGAATTAGATGGATGTGATGATTTGGTTTGAAATGGTCCTAAACCATGAATGCATTTTTTGAGGATGCACAAAGTCTTGTTTTGAAGGACCCCACCTTGTGATGAACTTGTTCTTGGCCTTAAAGTCAATTTGTTTTGGGGGAGATAAGCATGATAAAGTAATGTGTGTCCGGCCCTGGGTTCATTTCTTTTGGTCTTTTGTAATTTTGTAATAGTAATTTCTTGTTTCAATCATTTTCATGTATAAGAAGTATTAGATTTTTGATTTTAATAGTGAATATTTTCAAAAGAATATCATCCCAAAATTTCAAAAGAATGAAAGTTTCAATTGGCATTTCAATTCCTTCCACTGACTGTTATTATTATTTTCATTTCAGAAACCAAACTATTCCTTGAAATACACCCTAGCTGGCCATACCAAGGCTGTTTCTTCAGTAAAGTTCAGTCCAAATGGGGACTGGCTGGCATCCTCTTGTAAGTAAACAAGGTTTCCATTTTTTTTAAGTAGATGGCTCACATTTAAAAGTAGGCATTTATAAGTAGTCTTACTAAAGTGAGGTTAAAAGTAGGCAGCAAAGGTTTGGTGATTAAGCGATGGACTTTTGCATTTTTCTGGCTTCTAATGAAATCTCTGAGTAAGACCATAAAATTAAAGAAAATAGAACAGTATATTTTCTAGGTTTTCTGATTTTAATGCAAAAGACAGCTAACAAAAAGCCAGACAGATCAATTGAACTGGAGACCTCCTGTTATTGATTTATGATTAAAACTGCTTAAAAGCAGGATCGTTGCAACATGAAATAAGAACAAACATGAGAACACAGCAGTTAATAATGTTTCAGCTCTTATTTTTTTGTAAAACACATCACTTGGCTACCAGTTGATTAAACAAACTTATTCTTTTTTGTTCTGTCTTTTAGCCAGCATATGTTTTCCCATTTTATACCAGGGGCGGCTGGGAGTAGAAAAATATTGGTATTAGCCTCCGAAATTAAGACATAAGAAGTTCCCCTCGCAAGGTCCTGAAACTATTTAACAGGGGTGGAGCTTATATGTTCTCATTTAAGAAGGTGGGCAAAACGACCTTTTCGATATGATGGTTTAAAATAGCTTTTGGCAATACCATATCTTACAAAATTATTTGAAGGCACTGGCCCCCGTTGTCTCCCCCCAGACACTGATGAACCTGTGGTAATGTAGTTCATCCTACTAGTTTTGGGTGAAGGATCGGTCCTACGAAATACAAATGAATTATGGCTGCGGCAAATTACTCGAGCGAGCCCCAAGTAATTAGCCCATTAATTCTAATACCATGAGGCTTTTGGCCCGCGAATGAGATTCTATTACGATAAAGCGAGCGATTTACTTTAGAGTAATGCAGCAAAAAAACGTAAGATGTATCATTTGATTTGAGAAACCGCGAGAAATAATGTGAGAATGTTGCCTGTGACTCTACAATCATATAGAATCAATGTTTTACAAAACATACAGTTCATACAAAACAACTTTTACAACTGCCTTTAGCTTAAACAAATTATTTCATGACTGTTGCTCTTTATATTCAGTGTCTAAATTTTGTCAATCAAATTATCCATCCAAAGGCATTGCTGGCAAAAGTACAGCTACATTTTGTAAATTCACAAAGTTAATTTCCAGAAATATTTTTTCTATAAGCTGAGGCCTTAGAATAGAGCTGGGGCTCTTTCCACCGTCCCTTCCACTGACAGTGGCCCTCGTAGTATTAGAAATGAAAAACTAATACCTTACTGCTGTTCACCCATTCTTCTACCATGGCTCAACAAGAGAAATTCACGTCATGCAGACCACAACAGACAAAAGAAATTTTGGGGCAGTGTATTAGTTTTTGGAGGCTAATACCATGGCCAGGGCTGCTGATTACGGCATGGATTACACTTTCCAAAGATTTCAATGAGGATTAGGAAAGCTTTAATTCAACGAACAGAAAAGCAAATATATCTTGGCTATATGAATAGAGCTGGTCGCATCGATAAAATTGTTGTGAAAAAGTGGCAGCGTACAAAAAGCAAAATAAATTTCCTGCAATCTCAGAGACCCAAAGTCGCCTTCCTTTGAAAATAAAATGGTATTAGACTAATACCTTTAATACCACCCCACGCCGCCCCTGTTTTATACATGCCAGATTTCTGTCTGAAATTAGCTTGGTTTAGCAACAATGATCTTAAACTGAATTGCAACTTTTTCTTGACTTGGAATTTTTTTCAATAGTCCATTATACAGTGATCAATATATTAATGAGTTGCCTTCATTCCCTTTTTTTGTAACTATAAGTCAAGCTTTTACACATGAAAAATTGACTGCAACCTATATGGGAGAAACATATTTTTTGTTGCATATTGATTTTACAAATAGTGACTCTGAGAACTGCAAATGTAAAAGTAACTGATCTAAATTGATGGATTGTTGGCTGAAGTAAAATTTAGAGGAAAATTATGTTGGCTAAAGTGGAATTAAAAATTGTATAATTATATTTTTCAATGTGGTTTGTACGTTATAGGCATTGCAGTTGCAGATAGGACTGTTTCATTGATTTGTCTAATCTTTCAACCCATTAAGGTTGTCTGATGATTTTAGTTCATTTGGCAAGCAGTTCCAAATCTGTGGTCATAAGAATTTGAGACTGTTAAACTAGACTTTTTTAATTAGAGATGTTTTTGACTAAACTTAATGCTAGAAGAGATTTCCCTTTGAACAATGAAGTTTCTATTTGAATAACTTTTGATGGAAGAGTGTAAGCTGTAGTTTTAAAATCAAAATTATTTCTCTTGTGAGTGTTAAGATTTGTGTCAGTCAAAACTTGAAATGCCAGAGGAATGAAAACTGTACATATAAAACAAAATTCAAGATAACTATTGTGGATATAAGATAAAGATAAAAGATGGAATTTAATAAAATATTGAGTGCTCACTATTAATAAGAGCATGTTTTGTGGGTTGACTTTCATAGTGGATATTGCTAAATATGCAACCAACAATTAAATGTGAACTTGTAGACCAGGTCGTTTTTTTCACTAAGAAATACAGTTAATTCTTATTGTGACAAACTTTGTTCTGTGTCTCCTATTTTTTTTACTATCCTTGTTTTGAAATAATCTACAGTCTCATTTAGCATTGGGTTCAACAGAAGTTCCTTGGTTTTAAATGATTCAATGATTTGCCCATATCGGATCAGAGCACAGTTGTAGCAAATTATGTATGAATACAGATTTTGTGGGGGAATGTTTGTTGCTTAAAACCATGAATAAGTATTAATTTGTCAAAAATAATCAATTTTGACCAACGTTATTCTCTAGCTGCTGATAAATTGATAAAGATTTGGGGTGCCTATGATGGGAAGTTTGAAAAGACAATTGCTGGCCACAAATTGGTAAGGCAATGCTTTGTAATATCCTTACAAAAGTCCTGGAACACTTTTGCCCGTTTTCAAAGACAAAATTTGTAGATTTGTCATAAATAACTGCTGATCTGTCATAAATAACTCCCAGTTTGTCATAAATAACTCCCAGTTTGTCATATATTACTGCTGATCTGTCATAAATTACTGCTGATCTGTCATAAATTACTGCTGATCTGTCATAAATTACTGCTGATCTGTCATAAATTACTGCTGATCTATCATACATTACTGTTGATCTGTCATAAATTATTGCTGATCTGTCATAAAATACTGCTGATCTGTCATAAATTACTGATTTGTCAGAATCTGAATTTCTTTTTCATACATTTTAACTTTCTTCATATTGAACAATACCATTAAATATGCTAAGGCAAGCATCATAGAAATGTTAACATTAATGAATGAAAACGTTATAGATCCTCCTTTTTTGGGCCTGATTTTTCTTCTACCCTTGCTTACTTTCCAAAGAAACCTTTCTTCAAAGCAAGTGTGAGCAGCGATTCAAGCTTTTTTTGAATTTTATATATGCTAAGGATAGATCTATCTAGGTTTCTAAAGAACCAGCAGTTATGGACACTTTGAACCTCTTACCTGAAGGACAATACAAAGTATGGACAATACACTATAAAGCCAAAATGAGACTCTCTTTAAATTCAGTCATGGTGTATTTGTTCTATTGTGATATTGTTAAAACTTGCAGATAGCATTATTGCCTTTTTGTCGCAACATTTGTATTTTTGGCGAGTGATTGATTCAATTTTCCTGAATTTCTTTTTTCAGGGTATCTCTGATGTTTCATGGTCGTCAGACTCAAAACTGCTTGTCTCAGCATCCGATGACAAAACCCTCAAAATCTGGGACCTCACTAGTGTAGGTCTTGCCGCTAATCTTAGCTATTGGTTTTGGTTACTGTAGCTAGATGAGTTAATACCTTAAATCATAATCTATTTATTGTCTAGTAACAAGACAAAAGTTTTCGCATGTCAAGTCTAAACTTTTTTTGTGATCAAACATTCGTGGACAGCATTTGAAATACTTCATAGCAAAAATTTCCCCGCAATTTATAATCTACAAATTTATAAATAAATCGATTCATAAACTATTCTTATACATTCCTTGTAATGGTAAACAAAATTCTTTTTAGGGTCGTTGCATGAAAACACTGAAGGGCCATAGCAACTACGTGTTTTGCTGCAATTTTAATCCGCAATCCAATCTCATTGTATCCGGATCTGTGAGTTGCTACGTTTCTGAGGAATTTTTATAAGTATAGAGCTAATTTGATACATTTTACTTTGGTAACTCAGTACCTTTAATGTGTTTATAACCCATAATTAAAAACACACATACACGATCAAAATTTTTTCTTAGAATTTTCGCTGCCCTTCGGCAGCCTCCTCAGTAAGAATTCTTGGTTTATAGTTTATAGTTAATTATGGTTTATAAACACATTAAAGGTACCGAGTTAATTAAGTATAATTTGTCATACAACACACGGGATCTCTTAAAATCCTTGGCCCAAAAAGCCAGTGACCGAAAACATAATTTGGTACTGTTACAGCAGAAGCAGCACCACGAGTTCATCTTGCACCTAGCTGACTTCCAGGGGAATTGTACGACTTTTTTGAGCTCAGATTCGTTTTTTCGCCATACTTTTCTACCAGACACAGTTTTCATATTGTTTGTGCTTGTATTTTAGATTTTGCGGAGAAATGAAGCTTGAAAACTTGTTAGGGATTTGACTGCGTTCTGGGAGAAAACTTTACCCCCTAAGTCGCCAATCACCCTCAAATCCTCATTATAAAGTTTTTATCTTCATGTCGCCATAAAATCAATTTCGGGAGCAATAACATAATTCATAAAACTTCCAAGTAGATTAAAATTCTTGCCCTTTATCCAGGGTCAAAAATTTCATACATCAAAATTTGAAGAATTTTTAAAAATGAGACTGTTAGATGAATTAGTGTATTGGCTGTACTGAATATCAGCAAGAGAGTTTTTAAATATGTTTGAAACAGAAGTTTGATTTCCGTAAGAAAGTTAATTCACATTTTCTATTGTGAAATGGGAAATTTAAAGACAAATTTTGATAAAAACCTTTTTAAAATGGGGTGTGTGGATCACAGAGTAGTTTCGCCACAATTATTACTGGTTTTGAAATTTTCTATCAATAAAGCCTATCCATTCGAGGGAGGGGAGGGGTTGTTACTGGTTTCAGTATAGGACGACGTGGTGGCTTATATTTCTTCTAGTTAATCTAAATATACAGTTAATCGATATAGACTTTTTCGTGTTTACTTGAGATGAAATTTATAGCTGATCTTTAATTTTTTTCCAGTTTGACGAAAGCGTCCGCATTTGGGATGTTAAAACGGGAAAATGTCTGAAGACATTACCAGCACATTCAGATCCAGTGTCGGCTGTAAGTAGTTTGAGGAAAAGCATTTTCATGTTATGAATCTAAAAAGCCAAATCATTCTTATCAATCGAATCAGAAATCCATATGCTGTAAAAACGATAAATGTAAATAGATTGTGCCAGGAAAAAAATTGATTAAACAAATAGCGACGTTTCGAGCATAGCCCGTTATCAAGTAAAATTGAAAAGCGATGATAGAACTAAAAAACGTTAAAGGAATATGGGATTCAACAAATGGAGAAGAACGACGGATATAAGAGCATGAAAATAAATATATAGAAAGAGCAAACAATTATTATATTTATATACATACATATACACAAATACAGAATTTATGTATACGTATATATATGTATGCAAATATAAAGAAAAGAAAAAACAAAAAAAAGGAGGGAGGGGGTGTTATTGAAGATACGTAAATTGTTTATTAAGTCCAGAAGGATATAAAGCTCTAAGTTAAAGATGATTCGTTTTTCCAGTGCCTTTCTCTTTGCACTATCCGTTGGGGCAAACAAGAGGCCAAGAACTGACATGCCATCTTCTGTGTGATTCGCCAGGTTAAAATGTTTAGAAATGTTGCTATCAGTATCAGGATTCTTAACTGATTGTGAAAATGCGGCCCACGAAGAGTTCTAGATAATTCGAATCCAACGTTTTTATGTTTTGGACAAAGGTCGTTCCGCGCCTCTATTCGATAATGAATGAAAGAATCTTTTTATGCTTTCCACAAAAGAGCAATGTAACCTTCAAAACCTCATTTTCAAATTCATTTCTTCTTCTCAATATGTCATTGTGTCTTCTTCGCTTATTCGCCGCATGATTGGGCCGTTAAAGTGAGGCTTTGGGGGTTTACGGTCATTGGCAATAAACCACGATCAAAAATCGGCTAAACATCTGATTCTTATCCAGGCCCGCCGCGAGAGGGGGGCAAGGGGGCAAATTGCTGAGGATCCTCGAGAGGTAGGGGCCTCATAAGGTTACGAATTCCATTTTCAGATTGGAATTAATTAAATGTAGCAATAGTATGTCCAAAAATAGTAGAATGTTTTAAACGAATGCAAGAAATGGCTGCAAAAAATACATTTTGAGCTGATCTGAAGGGTATTGTCTCAACAATTTTCGGTTTTGCCTAGCTTTTGCCGAAATCTTTCGGCCTCACTGATTTGTGTAAAATCTTGTGAAAAGAAACCTACATGTTCTCTGATATGTTTTGTAGAATTTTTTTTTATTTTTGGTCCTTTTTCTTTATTTCTGACGTGCAAGCAATAATAGTGCCTGGAATAGTCCAAAATGTGAGGCAACCATCCAACGAGAGAAGCTTTTCAAAGCTGAAACTCATCAAAACCTTGATGAGACCATCAATAAACCAAAAGAAGTTATACGAAATGACGATTTTGGCATGCAAAAAAATATCCTATTGAAACAATTGACCTTGAGGACACGATAAGTAGATGGAAGAAATGCCAAAGACAAAGCGTTCTATGTCTGTAATTCCATTTCCGAAATAGGATAAACAAATGCCATTGTCATGGATACTTACAAACTCCATAAACTTTTCAAAACAACTACTCCAGTTAGACTATGCAATCGCCAAGAAAAACAAGGTACCTTAGAGAAATTAGATTTTATAGAAAATATTACTTTTATTTTTGGTTATCAAGGGCAAACATAGCGGTCAAATCTTTGATTGGCTGAGAGCTCTGTTCGCTACCATGTTCTAAGCCAATCAGCACACAGGATTCTCACAACAAAATCGCTTCGCAGCTTGAATTAGGCCCATTTCGCCATTTCAGCGTGTTTTTACCTCATTGTCTACAAAAAACATTGCACGCCTCTACGAAGCGAATTTCTACTTTTTTTTTGTCCAGTTCATCACTATGCGTTGCTATTTAACATATATTGGCGCCACTGTTCGATCGCAAAGAATAATATAAAAAAAAAATTGGCAAATGATCGCTAAATTTCGTGTCGAGATCCAGGTAAATTACGTTTTTATCTCTCCCCACCCAAAGCGCTTTAGACATTTCACATTTAGACAAAATCAATTATATACTTACCTTAAATCTAGGAATGGTTCAAAATCCCGTCAAAGATGCACTCACTGTTCAGCCTTAGATTCGGCGGTGATCGCCAATGTAATTATCACAACGGCACGAAGGCTTTCATATTAACTTAGAACTCAATAAATGTTTCTTTGTCCTCTGGAATCAAAATTTGTATCATAAAAGTGAAAAATTTTCAGCAACAGCCCAAAGTAATCCCAATCATGATTGTCCAAGGACAATTGACAATTATTACTAATTTTATGTGATGAAAATGGCGAATACACTCACGCGGTAAAACTGGGATCTAATAAAATTTGAAAACAGCGGGAAAATTTCGAGGGTGCGTTTTCATCAATTTTTCTAGACTAATCCTCTTTTTGATTCATGTGTTTGCGGAATTCCAAAATCAATCAACACAAACACTAAAATGTTAAAATTTGAATATAAGCCAGTTTTTGAAGCTGTCCCATGTTCTTTTTCAGTCCCATGTTACCTTGAAGATCAGCGGTTTTTCTTGAGAAAAGGAATACTAAAACACTACACTATACAGCAACGTTTATTCTGATGATCCCCTCTCGCATAGGTCGATCCAAAAGTGGTTCCAGTCATGAGTGTTTTATTTTTGCCTTGTTCGTATTTTGAAGAATTTCAGTTTATGGAAAATCTTGTTAATGGCAAGCCTTTTTCAGGTTGATTTTAATCGTGATGGTGCACTCATTGTGTCGAGCAGCTACGATGGATTGTGGTAGGTTACTATGATATTATTTTCTTTACTTGGATCTTTTTATTTCTTAAGTGCATACCTTCAAGTACGTATGTAAGAGCTACTTGCATTTCTTGTGCTTTCAAAGCCAAGTCAATGTTAATGTAATGGGTGTTTAAAATTGTAGATTATCTTTTGAGAACTAGCCTAGGCCCCAGTCTTCAAATGCTGCCACATTTATGTAATACTGGTTAATATCCTGTCCACAGTTTCGACCGGAATCTGGTGGTAATTTATGCAGCCCTCCAAAATTATGCAGTTAGTTGAAATTGTCAACGTTTCAAACCTCGCAAGACTTTAAACACACCATGCATCATCTTATCTGTTCTGTTTGGTTTCATATACAGTGCATATTTCTTCGAGGATTTTCAATGCAACATTTCAGTGGTTTAATTGCATAAATTATTTTCATAAACTAGACCCAGCCCTTTGCCTGGACAGAGTATTTGTCAATATTGCACAGTCCATAACTGGGGGCACAGTCTATTGAAAACATGCACTCGATAAAAAGTTTATTTTGTTTTCCCCTTGCCCTTTTTACACAATGTTTATACAAGTGATGGTTACATTCAAACAGTTAGCAACAGATGTAGTGTTGTTAAGACTCTTTGTTCTTTTAGAAGAGAGAAACGTCTATACGTAGAAGCTATTAAGCTATACTTGGCTGCACATCAGCTTCTTTGAACGCCTAAACTCAATTCTCCTGGCACCGTATATTCTGTTCACACAACGAACCAAAATCCAGTTTCTCACATATCGATTTTAAGCGGCGACATCAATTCTTCATAATGGTTTTTTAAACAATATCAGACAGCTTTTGTGCATGCTTTAACTTGTGGCATTTTGATCTGGTTCATGCATCAAGGTGATTACATTCGGTGTAGTGCCTTCTTAGCTTAGATAATGGATAGCAGCTTGGGCCTGATTAAAGCCCTTAAGGCAAAAATAAAGAAAAATTAAACTAATCCTATATCTTGTTAAGGTTTTGAAAATTGTTTTTTCATGGCTGGAAAGCCTTATTCAGGTTTATAATTTTTTGCAGATATTTTCTTTTTTTAATGAAAAGTTATTGAGCTTAAAAAAGGTTTTGAATTTACACAATGAAACATTCTAGTTGCTGTTGAATGGCGAATGTTAACTTTGTTATTCTGGTTTGTTCTTGGCAGCTTTTTTATTGAGTTTTGTATCCTTTTTAGCCGAATTTGGGATACTGCATCAGGCCAGTGTCTGAAGACTCTGATTGGTGAGTTTTTCAACCTTATTCCAAAAGGATTTTATTTGATTAGCGAATCTTTTGTTTTGTAAGGTAAATGAAACGACAATCCTACGCTGACGTGATATGCATGTGCTTAAATTTCGCAGCACCCCCCCCCCCTCCTTCACCCCAATTCTCCCGTGTACAGTTGTGATTTCTCTGCTGTTAGGATACATGTCTCCTAAATGTCACTGAGGCCACAAAGTGATGATAAGACGTTTGTTTCTGGGAGTAATTTTGTCACATTTTTTGTCTAGCGAAAGGGCTGCAAACAATGTCGGAGCTATAATTGTAGCAATTTTTAGAGGTAGTAGAAAGATTTTGTACCAAAATAGAAATTTGTCAGTAAAATCAGGAAATTAAGCCCAAGGAAGAAAATGTAGCCATTTCTTTGCAATACGTTTTATATATTATATTTTGCCTTTTTCTGAAGCGATAAACTAAATATATTTGATATCAAAGTAAAAGGGCAAAATATTTAAATGGACGTTGCCAGGTAAATAAGGATTCACGGGGTAATACTTTTGGCTAGTGCCTAGATATATTCACATTAATTTATTCTGACAATTATTCTATTATTTGTATCATTTTGGGCCTTTTGGTAAGATCGAATTGTTACCTTAGTTAGTATAGCGATGGATGAAACAGCCGCAAAATTGCCGATTACTTAATAATGCAAACTCGAATCAAATTTCAAAATAAGTGCTCTGTGGCCTATTTTAAAAAAACAATTCAATGTAGTAGTTTCATATGGCAGAAAATTGAACCCTCGTTTAATCGGTTCCAAGGAAGACAAATAATTCCTTGAATTATTGAAGTACTGTGTAAACATAACAGATTTATCATTGAAAACTCACAGCTAGAAGGTATTAAACTTTGGCAAATATGGTCAGTTTTTTGTTATAAGAACTTTTTCGATTGTTAGATTTCGGTTTTGATTTTGCAAAGGACATCCCCACTCAGCCTTCAGTTGTTTATTGCCAAACCTGAAACCTGGGGCGGACACTTGGTCAAATATTGTGTGGGCATGCCTATCCTTTTAATAAGATGACGTCACATTTCCCACTGTTTTTGAACATAAGACCATTGTCCTCTAAAGTATTGGAGGGGCGGTCGCCCCCCTCCCTTGCCCCCCAGGTGCCTGCAACTGCCTGAAACCCTAAGTTAAAAAATCCCTTTGCGTTTCTTCGGAAATTTTCTTTTAGGTTTTTGATTTGGTTGAAAAATGAAAACGAAATTTTTTTGATTTCAGCGAATTGTGAAATATCTCTCGAAATAAAACCGTGCTGTCAGGCTACATGTTACATTTTTCTTGGTGGTCGCGTTTTGTGTTCATGCCGAAAAGAAGCCAGTTATTAAAATAATAATTTTCATCTTTTAGATGACGAAAACCCACCTGTATCTTTCGTTAGATTTTCACCGAATGGAAAATATATTTTGGCTGCTACATTAGATAAGTATGTCAGATTTTCTTACTTTTTTAATTTTTCTATTGTACTTTCTTCACTTATTTATTTTTTTTTTAAAAAAATCTTACTTTGATTCTTTTTTGCTAAAACCAGCTTTTGTCCTTTTCAGCACACTGAAGCTATGGGATTACAGCAAAGGAAAGGTACTTGTTTAGCTCGCCTTTGGGTTGAATGTTTTGCATTCTGAAATGTCATAAATATTGCTGAATCTTGTGTCCATATAGATAACTTCAAACACACTAACTTTGTAATGAAGAAACTGAACTCAATAGCTAGGATTTTTAAATACCTACATGATTTACAAAATGAAAATGTGGCGATGTTGATAAGTACTAAATTGATAATCACAAATAGATGGATTGTAGTGATGTTGTCCTACAATGGCAGAATTTTCCTAAGGTTTATATACAATTTTTATATCTGTTCATGCGCTTTGCTGTTTTGTCGTCAAAACTATCAGAAATGCTTTTGTCTTCATTGTTGTATCAATTTATTGACTGTACTGATGTTCGCGTTTGTCTCTAAACAAGGAGTAAGTTTATTGTCATTTTTTTTGTCTTTCAGTGTTTGAAAACGTACACGGGTCATAAAAATGAGAAGTACTGTATATTTGCGAATTTCTCAGTTACTGGAGGAAAGGTAAAGCCACACTTTGATCTGACAGTTGCATTTTTTAAAACTTTGTAACACTAGCAATTATATACTTAATTATTGTGTGACAAGACACCTATCAGCAAAACTTATAAGTCAGCGAAAGTCGGAAGAATCCTATTGTGTATATATTGCACAACTTTTTTCTTCAACTGTCGAGCACAGCCTCTTAGAGAATCAAATTTTAAAAGTTGAATAATGGTTTGAGATCTTTATTTCTGAATTTTCACAATTTAGTTTTATATGAATATAGACTTTTTTAACGTCAGCAAGAACATATGTACTAAAAGTGTGATGTCGTGACTTAATACTCTCCAACAATACCATCCAATCTTTGGGGGAATTCAAAATTTTGATTTCCTTTCCACAGCCAGTATTTTTTTTCTTTATAATATGCTATATTAATAACTCTTCCCACTGTGATTTTTGCTAATCACCACTTATTTGCACATTCTAAGGGTCTGTCTGTTAAATAAAAGTTGTTCAGCGTGAAATTATCTTTCAAAGATGTACACACTATGTGGTTTTAGCTACATCAAAATTTGAACCCCTGCGGATCAGTGCGCCATTAGGGGATTTGCCCAAATTAGGAATTCCCAATGTCCAATCGATGGGGCTCTTTTTCTGGTTCTTCCCAGCATAGTATGGAACCTATGTGCCAAATTTAGCTCTATCTTATTTTTGTCCGGGTAAAATCGTAGTCCCACTGCACTATTTATAGCTTGATATGCAATTAATCTTCAGACTTTAGAAAAGTGAATTATGGTTTACCATGTATTTTAGTATCGATATTTCTACATTGTTTTATATCTTCAGTGGATTGTGTCCGGTTCTGAGGACAATATGGTCTACATATGGAATCTTCAGACAAAAGAAGTTGTGCAGAAGTTGGAAGGTCATGAAGGTACATTGTTCATCTTGCTTGCTTGATAAAGTATTTTCTCCAGGCATTATCTCATCTCATTAAGTTATTGATGCATGTTATTTATACTATTCAAACTACACAAGCAGTGAGCGCTTACTGTTAGTCTTTCGTCTTGTTCCATGCCTCCTACTTCGCTATTCAACTAATGAACAAGCAGTCAACTAAGCTAAATATCGTTCTTTCTTTTTTCAGATGTTGTCCTTTGCAGTGCATGTCACCCCTCTGAGAACATCATCGCGTCAGGGGCTCTTGAAAACGACAAAACAATCAAAATATGGAAGTCAGATACCTGACGACTCTTCTCATACATTCACGATACCTGAACATAATGCTAAACCTAAGGTGTTTGAGCTTAAAAGCAAAGGTAGACGATGCTATGCGATGGCTTGGTTTTTGATTATGCTGTCATCTGCGATGAAACTAGAGACATATGAACTGGGTTATGAATACGAAACGTTTTCTATCTATGACTGCAGATCAATGACGTAGTTTGTGCCTCCTGTAGACGCTTATTTTATTGCATTCAGGTGAACACCTTTGTTAGAAGTTTTTGCTCACCATTTTTGGCCTCTACTAACTGATCGTCTTGGTAGGATCAACAATGATAACGTAAGCGTTTTTTTGCACGACTGAAGTTATCAAGATCTGTTTTACTCCAAACAATAGACTCAGATTTCATATTCTCAGTTAGATCCCTTTGCAAGAGAAGTTGTAATTGCGTCTTTTTACTAGCTCAGATAGTGGATAAATTTTCCATCTGCTTTTCAAAGAATGTATGCTCTACCTTCACTTTGAACTACCCCCTCTACCATTTCCACATGTGTCTTCAATATATAATGTTTTCATAACTAGTATCTAGTAGAGATTTTTGCGTTTGTATAATAATCCGTTTGTTACAAACTCGTCGTATTTCCAATACGCAGGCCAATAATCTTTCATTATTGTTACTTTGTTGTTGTTCCTTTCCTGACATCCGCCCAGTTTGTTCGTCCAGCTCTCATTGTGACAGTTGCAACGTGGTTCTCAGATTAAAACAATCGTATCTCAATACGGTCTTAACGTACTCCGTATACCAGTGTGGTTAGGCACTCCGTATATCACTGGATTATCTAAATCTGCTCTACCAAGCCCGAATACATTTAACCCGGCGTAGTGGAAACGGTCCAGAAGGGATTGAAACGAGCTTAAAGCAAATTGTTGCTTATTTTGAAAACGTTCCATTGGCTCATTTTGAAAACGGATTCATTTTAACCCGTTTTTGTTTTAACCCCGGTTAGTGGAAAGGCTGCTTAAAGCGTTGGAGATTGAAAAAGGCTTAGAAGGTGCCACCTTATTAACTGTAGTTAGTTGAATGCAGTGAGTGAGAATGACTTCTTAAGATTGCTTGAAGGAAGCAGGAGTCCCCCAATCAAATTATGAAAATCGAAGTTATGTAGGCCACGAATAGACTTCTCTTGGGCTCTCCAACCAAGTGAGGAGTTAGCGATTGTGATGCTGATTGGTTAAAAACAAGAAACCTATTAAACGCGCCATACTGCTTCTGTTGTTACTTTGGATCCGTACCTTAATATACACTTAGCTTATCCTCGGTCATTTTCCAGCTTTGACACTCTGAAGAGGGTTGGCTCTAAAAAGCTCTTCATCATGACCTGTTGCCGCTTTCCACGCTATTTTCAAAATAATATTTTGAGGACTTTATATAAGATTTCAACTGATTGAAAATCCTCTACATTCTATCATCTGTCTGACGTGATTTTTTAAGAGAGCTACTGTGTCGAACACGACATGACTACGCTCACAAAATGACGACAGACCTTACTTCAGAGTAAAAACCTTTGGAAAAAACCGGGTGGCTTTCGGGTAGTTCATGGGACCGATATGAACAAACCAAAGAGCACAAAATTTAATGTTTCATTTGTACAAATAGCCCTTCTTTATTTTGCTTAAAAATCTTACATTTTTAACTTCAGATATCGCAAGCAGAAGGGGACTAATAGCAGAGCTACGAAGACTAATCTATAAATGCTTTTTAAGAAATGATACATTTCTAATAAGCAATCACTTTCTCGGAAATGCAACTCCATTAGGGAGAATTTGGTAACAGATTGGTAATGTGAGCCTGCTTCAATATTCGATAATGAATATTAGAATTTACGAATTTGATCTATCAGCAATTCATTTCAACTTTTGATATGCATTATGTATATCTGTAAGTATGATATTCTTATCTTCAAATATTTTGACACTTGCACAGTATTTTGGCTTTATTTTGGTGATCAAAATTTTGGCGAAATGTCTCATTTCGTTTTTTTAAACTTTTGATTTCCGGCGTTTAGCTAAGTTGGAATAAAATGGTGTCATAGTTCAAAGGTGTGAAAGTATTCAGTTGGTGTCATAGTTCACTTGAGTTCAATATGTGTACGATCTAAATCCGTGAGATTCTACTAATGTTGTAGTAAGAATGTGTTGTCTTGCGTGCATGTAGCTGTTCTGTCATGTCAACCGCTAACGTCTTTTTCGCCTACGGCACTTAAGCCGGGGTTAGCTTCATGTGATCTGTCAATGACGTCATTGTTATTAGAGCTACTGTCTTCCCGTCCAGGATGTTCGCCTTCGGGGAGTTCAGGACAGGCAAATCTTACGAATTCCTGCAGAGAGAGAAGTGGCAGCTGATTTTATTAAAGGTATCTCGAGAAATTACTGACGCAAAGAAATTAAAGTACAAAGGAAGAGGCGAAGTTTTGTATTTTTAGCAAATTAACGTTATCAAATCCTCCAGAAATGCGTGACCCACCCAGAAAGGATAAAGTATCCATTAAAACAGAAATGATAAACAGATTTAATTTTTAGAGGTGGCTTTCAAGAAGCTCTTTGTCTCACACTCTTCACTGGCCTAATTCGATCCACAACTGGGTGTATATTTCCTAGCGTAGAGTTTTCGATCAATGTTCTGAAATTTTATACTCTGAAGAGTGACAGGCGAAAAGCTTTAGTACTCGAAAATGTACTATAAGTTCAGTTTATAAACACTAGATCTCACTGTGGCAGAATACCAGTGTGACCCTGTATTCTGCAAAATCTAATATATACATAAAAGATGTGAAATGTTGCACAAAACAGCCGAATACTTTGACAGCTATAAAGATGTAAGCCCATTTCTTATCTCTCAGCTTCTTGAATATATTGAGCAACTTACAACAAGCAGTTTCAACAATGGAACAGTATGAGAGAATTATTTACAACTGAATTCTTCTGCTCACCTATAAGTTCATCTACATACGAAAAATTACGATAGTACCTCTGTTTGCGTAATAACGGTAAAAAAGTAATTCAGTTTCGGAAATATCTATCAACTTGAATTCCTAAAAAACTAATGCAAAATAAATATGTTCTTTGGAAACGATCTTTATTTAAATTTCTAATTTGAATACACATGTTAATCTAGCGGTTTAAGAGAAACACAGGGAGGGGGGGGGCTGACAGTAGCAAAAATGAAATTGATCTTGAACAATTTCTTTTCTGACAGTCCAAAAAAATTCAATCACTTCACGATCATTCTTCTCACCAAAATAATAACATATCAAGTCAAGCGAAAAAAAGTCAATTTTGGTCGTATAAATTTTGAAAATTGCTTTGATAGAAGCAAAAATTATCAGAAATGCTACTAAAGCTTTTCAGAGCATAATAGCTTCAGAGAATAAAACGTCAGAATAATAATAATAACGATGGGAGATGCTAAGGTGAGAAGTTCTTATCCAGTCTATCAAAAAATGCAAATCCGAGTCACGGAAGCATGAAATTTCAGGTTTCCCAGCCACTTGTCTAAAGATAGTAATATCGTGAAATTTCTCGTATAAACTTTCCTCAACTTCATCGTACTATCATGCCCCTATTTAAATAATGAAATGCATTCAATTCTAAACAATATGTCGCATTTCCTTTTTTCTACGGGTACTGATTAAATAGAAATAGAGTCCTAGGCATACAATTATGGTCGAGCAATAAATTATGACGCAGAGACTTGTATCTATAGAGTCCAATCCTGTTTTCGACAATATAAAGTAAAATGAAGATTTCCTTACAGTGTCTGATTCTTCGTTTTCTCCATCCGCAAATGGGTTTTTGTCTTTGAGCCGTATGTTATCTGGTCCATAATGTTTTTTTAAGAATTCTAACATCATACGTCTGTTCCACTTCATGTCACTAATACCATATCCTGGGGATGTGACAATGGTATTGTTCTTTCGGGCCCCAGACCGGCATTCTTTGCAAATTTCCTCCCATGGGAACTGGATTTTTGGATGCTGTGGGTCCGAACTAAGGTCACTAGCCAGACGTGCATTCACTCTATTGTGCCGCTCCCAAAGCCACAAAATAGCATCATCGTTTGATTTTACCTTCAAAACGCGAAACATTTTTTTTGAAAAACACAAAATCATCAAGGCTTCCAAAATAACACATAATTTCAACAAAAATGGTACTTGACTATTTCCAATTCAGATTTTTTCAATTTCATTTTCTACATTTCTTAGATGATTCATGTATAAAATTGCAAATAATTTAAAAGAAATCTTCCAGTCAATACTCCCTTTTCAAATTTTCCTTAGCATCTAACTATTATCATTCTCAAGAAAAATTCAAATGTCAGCTGCCATTCAATTAATTCAAGTTGACATCACAACTGTAAGAATATAATTCTGAAGCTCGTTTGTTAGATAAGACATTAGAAGTACTGTCAAAATTCAGGAAAACAAAACCAGTCAATAAGATCGATTATTGCAAAATTTTAAAAAGATACCGGGAATTGTTTATTTTTATAGGACCAAAAGCAAAGCCTTAAATCGCCTGCAACATGGATTTGGCTTCATTAAATACTACGAATGCTTGTTAAGAAATATTGTTAGTAACACTTTTCAGGCTTCGAATAGGAATGGAGATCAAGTTTGTCTAAAGCCTGGCTTCTACCAGAGGAGAATTGTATGACACCTTAAAGGTTCTTGCGCAACCGGAATACTTAGCAGCAGCTACCTTGAGAAATTCACTGAGTTTTGTATTTTCATGCAGTAAGAGATAAAGCCGGTTTCTTGAAATGAAGTCGCAAAGCATGGTGGTTGCGACTATATACAATACGTTGCTACAAATTTCATCTTGCTTTAAGGTGTTTTAAGGGAAGAGCAACGATACAAACCTCGTTATCAAGATTTGATGCCATGGCAACGAAATGGTTTCTGCAGTATCTGCATCCGAAGAAGTAGTCAATGAAACCACGGATTCTTCGGAGAATTTCAAGCCCAGTCAAATCAGGCTTTGGCTTGGTGCCGCAATGCACAGTCATTGTGTGAAATAAGACCCAAAGTGAGCACGGGAACCCACGATAATGAGGTTTGCTACCTTGGCAACCACGCCATTCTACTTCAACTGGCAAATAAGAGTCGAATTTCTGCAAAAAATTATATATTCTTCTATTCAACTTCTTCCAATAATACACAGGAGATAAATATGTATGTGAAACGCAGCTTTGATCGAAATCACAGAATATCAACAAAAATCGGATTAGCATATGAAAGAAATACAATAATTAGCAAGTCAAATTGAAAAATCTCGCCTTAGTTTGATGTCATTTACATTTACGTCCAAAATCCAAGTTTCATATTTAAATAAAAATACTGCATAGTACAGAATAAAAATCTAGATGTAAATTTATAATAAAGACAGCATTAAAAAGACATCAATCCCGAAAGCCAAAAGTTTGGGATACCAAATAAAATAATTATAAGAAAGAAAAAACAGTTTCGTTGCAAGTCGGATCTTTGCTCTCCCTGCAGACAAAAAACTTCCCGGCAAGGCATGGAAACGGACTTGAAGCATTTTTGCTTCTCTCACCTGTTGCTCATCCATATATTGCAGCCATTCACCCGAAGTCACCGAGCTCTGGTGAGCTGGACGCTTGAGCCATTTGTCAAGTCCAGCCAAGTACCTCGACAGAAATGCCTCTGCGGGGGTGCACTGCAAAATGGATTTTTAAAGGGTAATTAAGCAAACTTTAACTGCTTGACAGAAAAGAAGAGAACACAATACAGTAGATGTTGTTATAATGAATTTAAGAGCACGGTTTGCTATCTAGTCACATCACTTAATACAACGTACGATCAACAATATGCTAAAAATAGCAACGAAAACAGAGCACTGGCTTAATAAAAACAGGACTTCTCTGATAATCTTTGTCTGACATGCCGAAACATTTGTAATAATATGTGGGAATTGTATCAAAAATATAAAAAGGCTAGAAATATTAAAAAAAATTACGAATCAGAAGAAATCCACAACATTCAATAATGAACAAGATATGTGCATAAAACCAAAGCGTCAACATTCACGTCCGAAAACTTAGTATTTCGATAGGGCCCCTTGAAGATTAGCACCGCTGAAAGGATACCCATCTTATATATTTCCACGGTAAAGGAATAAATACAATTTAGCACGAACACTCAAGAGTGAACTCTTCCACACACAAAATACGCATCTCTACAAAATGGTCAATATTGCTTCGAAATCAGAAGAATCAAGAATGATTTTTCATCTGCATCTTTATTACATGCCTAGATATATTTTCAATTATCTTCTACTTTCATTTTAAATTTTTTGGCATGAATTGCCACAGCTATTTTAATTTTACTTAGTCAAAAAGTTCTGGCGGCTTAACTGCCAATTTGCAGCGGATGGCGCAATACTTGAATTGCCAGTGTACAAACTACCTGCGCACCTGGCGTGGACTTCTAGGAAAGTTTTTTCGAACCAATTTGTTCACACTTTCCGGGGCTGTGATTGGTTAGGTGGCGAGAGGCCACGTGATTTAGCGCAAGCTCTCAGCCAATCAAGATTTGAGCCCTATGCTTAGCATACCTGCATTAAGAGATTCACCCAGTTCTTCAAGGCATTCAGGGCTTCGCCTTTGATGACTCTAATTTTTGGCACTTCTCTTCGCAATGAAAAGCTTATGCTACTAACAAGGTCAGTCATAAACACATCGGTCGTACTGTAACAAAGAAATACACGTTACTAGAAACTACCCAGGTAAATTAATTGTGAGTAGAAAGTCTTCAAAAGGCCTGTGCATAACAATAAAATTCTCAAACTTGAATTAAAACAATTCAGAAGTTCACATATAATTGAAAGGAACGTAGGCCACTATTTTCCAAAAACGTCTAAGTGCTTTGAATTTTCCTAATGTGAGACCAAAAAGACTTTTAGCATAAAATAAAGTCTATCCTCTCTATTTTTAATGACATTCAAATGGCACAAAAGCCAAGAGATTATCGAAAAAAATTTACATATCACTCAAATAAATGCCTTACTAATTGTCACCACCGGAATTCGCAGCTAGGCCTTTCGTCTTCTTGGGTTTCTTTATGGTCTGAGAGAGATCTTGAGATAACGGCTCAATTCTATTCAAGGCAGCCAAATAACCTTTCCTCGTCTTGTTCTCTCTAAAATTTGCAAAACCAAATACACTTAGGTTTATTTCTTTATTTTGTAGGTTCTAATGTTCTTTTACTGCCATAAAAGAATACAAATGTAGGTAAGCAATTAAGGATAAAATTAAATTAGGAAAAGATTTTAATTTTTTTTTGCTTTGTCAGATAACGTTTAGTGCGCCCGTCTCGATCTAGGGTATGTCATGGATGCATGCTTATTCATGATCATAAAAATGCTGCCTAGAATCATAATATTGCTCGCTATTAAACAAAATGTTAGCATGCATTCATTTCAAAATGTATCAACGTCAGACTTTGTAGTATTCTACAAGCAAATAATCATTTTCTTTGCATAACAGCATATCATTTTCATTTTAACCTGCTGTTAGATTCTTGTTATAAATATATCTGCAAAATAAGAATGTATACGAAGAAATCAGAGAAAATTAAACCAGATACAATACCCGCTGACTTCTTTGAACGACCCTTTCTGATCAACAATAATCATTGATGGATACTCCTCCACATTGAATTTCTCAGCCAAATCAGTCTACAAAAACAATCCTCTTAAAAGAAAATCCAATGTAGATTAAAGTGACATCCTTTCAACAGTAGGAAGGAACATTGCAGATCAACAAGGAAAAAACGATGGATGACGTTGGCCAAGATGGATGGCTTGCCGTACAAACATATTTATCGGAAAAAAGTAAAGTAAAATGAATATTTCTCCCCGACATAAAGTTCTTTTATTTCTTTATCTCAAGATTCGGTTAATAAAGCAGAGGATCCATCAAGCACTTTTCTTCTGGCATATTACATAATTTGCAGCCGACCAGCATAAACAATCTATAATCTGATTTATAGAAGGCATCTTTAAATAATCAGTTAACTTGATTCGATAACCAGTTCTCCTCTCTTTTCCCTGCTTCCCTTGACCAGTATAGAAGTTTGTTAAAAACGATACTGCTAGTTTTCTGGCCCAGTACCTACAATCATTTTGCGAATATTTTTACACTCAATTTTTTCCGGCCTATGTAAATAAACGTTTCTAATATACACCATAACAAACCTGTGTCTCCAAAACGCGTTTTACTTTCAGCTTTTTGCAATTGGTTGTCTCGAGAATAAGCTGCAAAAACACAAAAACTGTAATCAAATCGAAACTGGCAATCCCAATCTAAAAACTGACCATGCAACGCTGGTTGGTAATCAGAAAATAACAAAGCTCTGACCAAGAAGAAATTTGATAAAAGATATGATCAAGAGAATAAAAAAGAAGAAATGGGAAAGAGGGTGCATTTAATTGATTTTTGGTTAGCCTATCAGAACCTGATTAAAATTGCTATGACTTGCAAATTGTTAAAAGCTGCGTTCATTGCGAGCAGTGAAAAAGTTTTTACTGCTTGAGTAACTGGATAAAAAGGGGCTTACTTTTCAGAACTAAAATTCGATTTAACTGCATTAACTGCTAATTTTGATTTTCTCAGGCTGTCAATAATAATCTCGCACCTTACATCAATCTACAAAATACATACCATTAACGGCTCTAGATTTTTTTCAAAATCCAATTCTAAACTAGGTTTATGGACTATAAAACACTTACTTGTAGAAACAAAAAATATCTTAAGTTCACATAATCCCAGAAAAATAAACCCCTTCTTCACATTTTAAGGTGCTTTGCAGTGCTTGATTAAGTTATGCCACTACATGATAAAAACATACCTCTCTTCCGATGAAGGAGTCCTTCTCTTCAAAAATTAGAACAAGAAGCTTCGCATTTGGTTTCTTCGTTTCTGATCGTTTTGATGTAAAACTTTCGATGACATGAAGACTGAAGCAGAACATAAAAGGCGGATCGTAACAAAATTGTGTGAAGAAGGACCGATAAATTTTGATAACATAAATTTATCTTTATCAAATTCGGCTATACCTGAAACGGGAGAAATCAGTACGAATTTAACAAGGGGTCACGATCTTTTACGCTCGTTTTGCTTTAAGGATATTCTTTGTTTACCCTCGCTTATTCATTTAATTCTAATGCAGTTTGGGAGGATCTCCATTCTATACACTTGAGCTTTATTTTACTGTTTCAATTGACAATGTTCAAAGTAGCTGAGAAGACAACTCTCGTCAAGGCGAATATTGTTTCTCATTTACAAATTGATTACCATGTGACAAAGGACGAGATAGGGATCCAAATAGATGAATTGCTTCTTATTGGTCTTCAAACAAAACTTACTCGGCTGGTGAGAAATCTAAGACATCATTGAATGTGTCTTGCTTTTCCACGAATTCTACCAACCAGTGTCGAATTTTTCGTACCGTTTTTTGTCCTTAAAAGCAAAAACATGATTGAGAGAAATCTATAACAAGGCCATTTAGAGCAAATACATGAAACAATACACCAAGGCATAAAGGCATTCACAAGTAAACAAATACATAGATGAAGGCGGTTAACACGAGTTGATTCGTTTCTATTTCAGCAGCTTTTTGCTAAAAATCTTCAGGGGGAATTTCCAGTTTATCTTTTTAGATCATGTTTTGCATCTATTGTTTCTGTAGCAGACTTCACATCCTTTTCTACACCCCTCCTTCCCATAATACCGCTAATTCAAGCAGCTCAATCTCTAAGGATTTCTTCTTTCCTCTTGTTTCTTCAACAATACCATTTGTTTAAATACCAATACCAACAAATGTCCTGTTTAACCAAAATTTTAGGTAATTGAAAATAAAAAGGTGTGAAGGATCAAGTGTTTCAAATATCGATAGACACTTTAAGATGTTGATTACATGTGTAACTGAATAAAAGCCTATTTTATTATATATTATATTATATTATTAGTCATCAAATGACTTATTTTCTTAAAAAGTAAGTGTATCTAAGATCTAAAACTACAGCACAAATATAATGCTGCATAATGGCCATTCCAAAACGAATATTGGCCATAATAGCACAAAAAACGGCAAAGAAAATTATTAAAGCATGTCTTTAAAAATCCAATACGTTACCTTTGAAATTAATTCCAACATCAGACTTGTTCTTCAAGTTGGCACCAAAAAGCTAGCAAAATATTTTTAAAATGTTATTAAAATATGGAAGGCATATTTGCAACCTTTTGAATGCTGGGAATGATGGTTATAGTTTATTGTTTTAATTTTTCTATTTTTGATTTACTACTGCTGTTTCATTTTTTTCTTAAGATATTCCATCCAATACAGGAAACTGAGAAACTATGTGTAACCAAGTGGATTACATGCTCTAAATAATATTTTCATATCCTACAACCTGGCAGACAGGATTGCATTGTATTATCTTTCATTCATTAAGAAGAAGTATTACAAGCGAAATAGGTACTAATAATTACTCATATTTTAGAAGTATTTGTCATCAGAGGAGTATCTTTAGGGCCAAACCACTTTATCAATTACAAATAAAAGCTACAACACAGGCAAATATGACAAATATAACACAAATTGCAACAATAATATACTAAACAACAAACAAAAATTTAGAACAACTGATATTAATACATTATTTTCATGAAGTCATTAATTTAACAGATTTAATTTCAACAGAGTGGATGTGCCCTTAAACAGGCAAGGCCCAAAAGTTCACAAAGTATGCAAGTTTAAGTTTTTGAATATCATAAATATAATTCCTTGACTAATTTTTAGTAAAATGGAAACAAATAAGATTTCTTGACAAAAATTCAAAAAATGCCTACTTTAACTGTTGGAAATGACTGGATTTCATATGATCTACAGGTATCCAGGTTTTTATCTTCAGCACAGTCAATGACACCAGCTCTAACAACATGATCCCAGGCTACAATAAAAATGAAATATTAATCTCTCAGCTTTAATATAGCACTTTGGGATTAAATCTGCTTTGTATTATAAATTCAAATTATGGTGCACATTTATGTTACCTTGTTTTTATTCATTTCATTTCTTCCAAGAACAACATAAGGAAGACTGGAAACAGGTGTAAATATTAACAAAAAAAATTAAAACATTTCTTACGCAAAACAGAGAAAAAATTGTTTTCCTACTTTTATACTGAAATCATGAATACTTTAAGGGTATGGCAGAGGTGGCTCAACATATTTGAAAGTGGGGAACAAAATGTTACAAAAGGCAGAACAGTATAGCAAGGCTGTCACAATGGCATGAATAGTAGAAACATGGCATTTTAAGGGATGATCAGAAAATAAATATAAATAAATTTAGATCAAAGGAAAATCTGAGGCAATATTTTGAGGCTTTCTTTGATCCATTCTAGTGTTGATATTATTGAAACAAGTTGGGAAAAGAAAGAAAGGGAAATTTCTGAAACATAATACACATTGATAAAAATAAAACTGTAGTCAAAATGATAGGCTTAATTTATTAGTATACTCATGAAAATAAAAGTATATAGATCAGATATGAGGAGCAGCATTTATTATCATTGTTCCTGTAATAGAACAATTTTTGCAAGCAAATGTTACTGGAAACTGGTTTTTTAGCTAAATATGATAATTGATGTAGTAAAAATATGGTACCACCTATCCTTTATTACCTGCTTATCATTAATGACAGGAAGCCTATTATGTCTTTATCATGGTTTTCTGAATCCTTGAAACTAGTTTGAAAGCACCTGTTAACTGTTTAACAGTTTTGTGGACCTGTTAAGTGCTTACATTGTAAAAAACTTGTTAAAAATTTCCTTTTTCGAGCCCTAGTAAAAGGCAGAACAATTGTTAAACCATGGCTCACTCATGGTCAGAACAATGTTAAAAATGACAGAAGAAAATGTTGATAAGGCTCCACGTTTCTTAAAACAAATTTTATAAAATTGTATGACATCATGGATTGGTCTGTGTTGATATCATCAATTTTTTTGGCCATAAGATAATGATCAGACCACATTTTGGCAAAGGGGATCTATTTAAATTAATGGAATATCAATAATAGACCTTCCCTTTATTATGTCATGGTGCAATGCATTCTGGTAGTTGTAGTTAAACCTGTGAACATTTGTTTGTGTTTTCTACTGCGATCAAACAACCTCTGCTATTATATGCGCTTTTGATAAAACAGTCCATCATGGGTAATCAGGATCTTGATTTCTGGATTGTTTGCGTTCCTATTAAACAGAAAAAAGGGTACTTGGTTGCACCCAATTTGGACTATTTTCCACATTTGGCAAAGATGGCAAAACTGTAACTGATATCTTAAAGCCCCTTCAGACATCATACTAGAAGCATTTTCCCATTGGTCCCATATTTTCACTTTTCCTGTTTGTTAGGCCTAGGCATTATCATATCCTTGCTCACTGTCAAATTGCAATGGGAATGATTTCCTGCCGCGTTAGTTTCCAGGCAAAAGCTTTGCCAAAACCTAGGGATGTGTTGCTTGGTACATTCTGCTTTATTTTCTATCATTTGTTTGATTATTTGAGCAAAGAACATTGAATAAAAACAGAGCTTCATCGGATTGCCATAGAAGCCATGAACAAATGGTCGCAGGTTTAACTACAAGTACCAGAAGGCACTGTGCCATGACCTAATGAGGGAAAAGGTCTATTAGATCAGAAAGAGTTTTATTATGTAAGAGCAGCTGAAGAAAGGAGAAGAAATAAGATTGTAGTGAATTTTGTAATGATGATTGATAGAAAAGCCTTATTCCGAATTGTTGATATTTTCTATTGTAATTTCCATAAAAGCCTCCTACTGATACACTAGCAAATATGCCAAGCACATGAATTTGAAAAGCAACATCAACTCTTGATTGAAATAATTCACAATGGTCTGTGGTACTCTCAAATACTTATGCTTCTTTAATATATTTTGTAATTTCCAACTTTGATATACATGAAAGGCCTTTAATTACAAGTCTTCTTGCATTTACAATTTAGTGTCAGGGTCATCATAAAGTTCAATAAGGTTGATTTTACAAGACCAACACACGAAGACCAGATTTGCAGGTTTGGTACAAACAAATTAAATTTACTGGGACTCTATCGGAATGGAAATGTTTGCTCCCTAATTAAAAGTACCATCCATTTATGCTTATACGTACAATGATAGAAAACCGATGGCAGGGATTTTTTCACAACTTAACCTTAACATTATCATGTTTTTTACTTTGGATCATAATAAAGCATTTGGCATTCTAAATCTAACAAAATCTCATTATTGGTTTTCGATTAAGCCTGCCGAGCCGAGAAAACATCTGGCCCGAGTGTAAAAAATCACAACTGGTTTAGCTTAGCGTCGCAGCTTAGCTTTAAAACTATACGAGGATTTGGCATGGAAAGGGTCTAAAAGTTTTAAGAGGAAGGTTTGTCACTGTATACATACACTGAATTTGTCGGGAGAACCTTTTCCAGGTAGGAGCAAACGCATGACAATGCCCGCACCAACTTGAATAAAACTCGACAATCCAAACATAATTACTGTTGTATATGTGACTTTTTATCGTTGAGTTATCAAATATTTCCATTGGATCATCTTTTGAATAAAGACTTGCATCAATTCCATGGAAACAGAAACAGCCAAGGAAGAATGTTACAAGGAAGATCGTGGTGTCGGCCGCCATATTTGTTGCTGGTAAATTATCACCCAGACCCAGGCCACTTGAACCTATAACGTTGACGCAGAACGAAAATAAAGATGACACCAGCTGGGTTGAATAAGAACCATTGAACAGGCAAACAGTGATTACACAGACCAAACCCGCGAATCAGGCTGATAGAGGTCCGTTGTGAGATGCAAGGCAATATGTGCCTATTTTTATCAAGCACATGCGGAAATTATGGAGTGGGATTCCCTCCATTTCGACATCACAATATGGTGCTAATGGTCACTGCTTGTATTCGATGAGGGGCATATCACTCTAAGAAAATCTCGTACACCTTTTATGAAAATCCTATTGCTTTATCTGAAAATCCCCATAAATCCTTTTGTTTTGGAAACAATCTCGTACGCTATTTGCATCAAGAGTGAATCGTCCCGCGGTATTCGACAGAAAACGACATAGCGAAAAAAACAAGATAGCGAAAATTCGAAATTTGTGGTGTTTTTATTCTCCAAAAAAGGAAAAATCATCCTAGATTTTCAAAAATGAATCAGGCCTATAACGAGGGGCATTTCTTTTTAAAAATTCTGTACACCCGAAAATCTACAGAAATCCTTTAGAACCCGAAGATCCCTGAAAATTTTAAAGCGATCCTAAAACGCCTCAAATCTCCCAAATGTTCCATTAGTCACAATTTTTTGAAACATTTTCGTAAAAAAATTCTCAGGTGTATTTAAAAAACAGCTAAAAAGTGTCATAACTTCAGAAGAGCTCGAAATTACAACGAGAACAGGTGAACTTGAAAGACATGGTGCTAGAAATTTTTCGTCACGATAAAAAAATCGAAACTCAACATTGATGCTCATTACTTAAGCTCAAAGGCAAAAACGAGATAGACAAATTTTCACTTTTGTCATTGAAGACAAAGATTAAGTATTTGGCATGATTGAAAAATTTGTCCGATTATGTCATGCTTCTGCATTCACTAGAGCTGTGCTGAATGCTCATTAGGACTTTAGGTAACATCTACTAGTTCCACTTTTCAATAAAAGAGTGGACACAAATTATCGTAGGATAGGGAGCAAAAGCAGGGAAATGGCCTGAAACATTTCTAAGGGGTAAATGTGTGTGTGTGTCGTGGGAAATATTCAACGGAGAAACAGAGACGGCGACAAGAAATTGAGCATGATGGGCTAAGAATCAAGTATAGTGACGTAAGAGGACCCACCATGGTTGGGTCGGAGGCAGAAATGAATTTTTTAAAATCATACCTTCTAGAATGGCTAAGAAAATATCCCCCAGACTAAAATTTAACAAAATACTATACCGCTCAGGATAGACAATTCTTCATTTCTCAGAAAAACACTGATTATTTTCTGCTGTCGTTATTGCTTATAGTGTCTGCAATTCAAGGAAGGGTGACCTTTGGTTCAGAGTGAACATCGATGTGAATAGAAAGAAGCTGTTGTGGCAATTGGAAGAATTTCACTTCTAAGCAGAAAAGTGCATTATCTTTGTCTCGAGTGTTTTTAATAAGTCATGTTTACACATCCAAAATTAAAACATTGCGATGATATAGAAAGTTATCTGCTCAATTCATGCAAATAATAGACAAAAAATGAAAAAAATGTAAAGTAAGTTAGTGAATAGATCAAATTAATCAATTATATGTAAACTGCTTATTCTCTTTTTATCTCATACCCTGTTTTAAAAAGTAATCAAATAACAGTAGAAAATGTATTTGTTGGAAAAAAGGGGGGCTTTGTTATCCCCCCCCGCGCAATTACGCCGTGACTACTAAAGTAGACAGGTCTAAACTGTCTTGCAAAAATTCCCGAAATGCTCCCAGCTCTTTTCTGTTATTATGATAACAGCTCCCTAATGGTAATAAAATCCGAGGGGGCAAAACAAGAAGGCAATAATTGTTGGAAAGCGCCTTGTATAAAAGTATCATACAAAACTTTGATTACACATCCGATTTGCAAAAATTTCTAATTAACTTTGCTTGGAAATATCCAATTGAAAGGAACCAGGTGCCTCTCAATACAATAAAAATGCAATGCAATGCAAACGCAATTTATAACAATGAAACAAAATGCAACACAATGCGATTCAACACAAAACAATACAATACAAGACAATACATTGCAATACACACACAACACAGTTAAAAGAACACAATATTATATTTAAATGTGAAATAGAAGGACATGGTTGCTGGTTAGCTCTTTATAAAAAACAAGCTTTTCGTGAAAGTTTTCTTGTAGCTGCATTCTTGGCAATGTGGAGGAGAGGAATAACTGAATGGCGACAGACCTAAGTAATTTCCCCTGCAGTAAGAAAAGAGTTGCATGGTATGTGTCATATGCAAGCCAAAAAAGGAATAAAGAGTTGTAGAGATGTTTCAGAAAGTCGAGTGGAAGGAGGTCTTTTTATGTTAATGAAAATACCAGTTATCTGTAAAGGTTTCTCGGTTAGTTCAGTAACATGGAATTTCCAAGAGATGTGCTCATCTATCAAAACTCCTAAACATTTAACATATCCAGCTCTGATAACTTGTTCTCTAACAAATCTTTTGTGGAAGTTATCAGGATTTTTCTTCTAGCTGAGTTGAATATATCAAGATTTGGATGTTAATGCCAGCTAATTTATCTAAAGCCATGATTCAGTAGCTCTTTCAGTAGCGACAATTTCAGTAGCTCTTTATTTACTTCATTACTAGGCTTGGTTATATTTTCAGACTCATAGTAGTTATTCGTATCAGCAAAAAGAAGAAATGAGAGCATTTTGGATACATAACGGAGGTCATTGGCATAAACCAGAACAAGTAAAGGGCCAAGTACAGAACCTTTAGAAACACCACAGGCTATGCCTCCAAGTTCAAAAGAATGATTATTTACCGAAAAAACTGCTATCGACCCGAAAGATAAAGTGAAAGCCTTGAAAGTGGAGTGCCTCTGAAAGAATAGTGGTTAAGTTTTTTTTAGTAGGGTGGTATGATCAACAGTGTCTAAAGCTTTTTAAAGGTCAAACAAGATTTCACAACTTTGTCTCAAATTTCACTCAAACTTATCAGTGCCTGGCTGTCTGGCCACTTGAGCGTCCATTACGGAAAACAAATTGCATTTAAAATAAAATATTATGGAGTTTCAAGAAATTTTACAATCAATTGTTTTATTTATGATGTTGATGGCTTTTGCTGTAGCAGAAGTTGTGGTATTTTCAGGGTAGCAATGATGATGGAAAAGGGATGTCATTTCGTTAGCTTTTTCTTGGAAGTGGTCATGGTTGGAGCAGATTCGACGCAGAAGACGTATCTGGAAAAAAGTTTTTGCTTCTTGAGATTGGGACGGAAAGTAATAGAGAAAGCTGTGTGAATCTGCTTCCTTGTAGAATATATAGGTAGCAATGGAGTTGCTCGGTGATAGCAATAGATGGTGAGCAGGTTATCAAGAAAGGGTTAACTGTGTGCAGAGATAGTGTTTGTAAAATGAAGCGCTGGATCGAAATCATCGGTGTAGTTCATAAAATTCTGTAGAGATATAAGCAGTAATGAAATAGCATCGACAATACCCTGGGTGTCAGAGCCTCAGTTAAAGAGTGGGTCGGTGGAAGACTGCATCAGACGAATGTTCGACTATCTCTTTCACAGAAGCTCTGGTACACAGGGTACACGGACAACATGTAGAATTGAAGATCAAATTCTTCTGGTATCCAGCATCATGGTGCCAGCGTCAGTGGTTTGAAGGTAATGGTAATAATAGGGAAAATGTTAATATTGCTTGTTGCGAGCTTGAAAGACTTTATATTGTAAATTAAGTGTCCCAGATTTGTAAATGAAGACTTGAAAAAGGCGTTTAGCTAATTAATTTCTCCTGCATAGATTTACTGTCGGGGGCTGACGAGCAGTTACCTTCGCCGATTTCGAAACAGTTTATATCTAGAATCGTTTGCATTAATATCTAACCAACTTAATATACCATAGGCTCTGATGAAGCCCCGTATGCCGGGGCGAAATATTAGCCTTTACTGATTTACGTGTATTTCTTGTTGTATATTCTCGGCGTATTGCGGTGTTTCTTGTTTGCTACATTAATATACCATACCTAGCCTTAAAAAATTTCAAGTACCGTCTTCTAACAGCCTTTCAAATCAGGAACTTTGAAGACTAGAGGGAGTAACTAGGCCACAGCTAGATCAAAGACAATGGTTAAATTCTGTGCAATATCTGGATGTGCCAACAGATTTTGAGGGGGCAAGAAGATCTTGAGGAAGATTCAAAAGTCGGTTCGCAAGAAATAGTCAGGGCTGTTTCCAAAAAAGTCCTTTGATAGAAGCATGAAACCTACTAGAAATACACAGATGGATGCGCTGAAAAGGGTAGGTTGCAGACCCTTTCCAAAAATGCCCCAAAATTTTGTTTTGCAAATAAAGTTGTGACCCGATTGGATGTGTTCATATACTTGTGAGCATATTCATCGATAAGAATATTACAACATACCAAAAATATTCATAATTCAATTGAATTTGAAGCAAAATAGTCCAAAGCAAATATAAACTTTCTATTAGCATCAATTACTGTACAGAAATAGGAAGGATTCACCATCTTTCTCATCAAAGAATCAAGAAGATCCTGTCTGTACTTTTTGCATTTGTTACTGCTAAGCATCTGAAAGTAGCTTTTAGGACACTAAGCAGCTGTGCTTATCGAGCAGAATCCATAGAGATAGGGCAAGATCCTGGTCCTTCCCTTTGATGTGACCACGCCTCGTGACCTCTATTGATACTCCTGCTGATTCTACTCTGCTTCTAATAAATCTTGGTGAGTCAACTCTTGCGGCACTACGGTACAATAATGTGGACATTGAAACTGCAACGGGTTTCAATGTACGACTCGGATGGCGAATCGGTCCCGCCACTGCACATATCGCAATATATCAATACTAATTGCACGCCCCGAAATGCTCTGTCTAAAGATTGGTTGATTGGCAAGCAAGGAGTTAGATTTTAAAACAAAACAAATATACATAGATGCAGCTCGCAGATCTTCCAAGGCATGAAAATGTGTTACAACGCCAAGTAGAATTAAACTGATGTCTTACTTTTTTATAAACTAGGTTTGTTTTTCATGTATGGATTTAAGCACATCTTACAGTACCGTTGTTTTAATAACCATTATAGAGGATTCGGATCTTTTATCCAAGCCTAAAAAAAGCATTTACATTTTGAAAGATTCACCAATACTTTGGTCTTACAGCCCTGACAGACAAAATGAAGAAACGTATGGTTTACGTGTATTAGTAGAGCTGACCTGATGCGGACAAACGCTTGCGTTTTTTCAGGTCATTTTGTGCCTACTAAACCTTCTGCACATATGCGAATAAAGGCATTCTTATCAAAAACTAAAAGTTGACAACATCAATGTATGTCACTGAAACATAGTCCTCTATGTTTGCATTCCAATTCTTCATAGGCATGCGTATGGGTCGGTACCATCAACTAAAGCCTTTTTCTCCTTGTATGTGAGTTTCTCCTGAGGATCCAGGGAAGTCACACAATTTTTCAAACTTGCTATTTTCACGGAGGCCGAATTATGGGCCGCAAATAGGGATACTGTTTGCGTGCAGTAAGAAGGCGGTACTTATAAAGTCTTTAAAGAAACAATTCTTCTACTTCTTCTACGTATTTAATCAACAACTTCATACTGAAGGCTCTGTTGATGTAAAGAAAAACAAAAGCAAACAAACAAACGAAAACACACAAAAGTTAACAACAAATAATAACAAATAAATAAGTTAAGCAACATAGCAGCAGTTCCGTGACTAAGATAGTATTTATCCAATATTCCAAAGACAAGAAGGCACAGCAAGCAAGTTGGTTAGGTATATATGCAACCATTAAAAAATATATAAAGTTTCGAAATCGGCGAAAATAACTGTCCGTTTCAAAATCTGTATGACATAAACAGCGCGTTGCTACGTGTATCCAACACTGGGTTGTGATCCATCATGGCGGCAACAAGTAAGTCACGTGACAGGTGGGAATAATCTACAGTCAAACTTGCGTAAGTCGGATCTTTTCGGACCAGGCGAAAAAATCCGACTTACGCGAAGTCCGACTTACACGTAAGTCGGATATTTTCCGACTTATGAAAAAATGAATAGGAGAACCAGATGGAACAGAGGTACAGATAAAGAATATATTGCATCACATAAAAACACAACAATCTTAATGATATAAAATATTCCCGTACGGTATCTAAAAATAGTCACTGATTGTCTTTTGATGCAAATTCTTCGGCATTTCCCTAATTATAAGGGATTCTTGATTCTTTTCTGCTAGCCAAAGCCAGCATTTCTTCTGCAGATTCCTGGTTATCAGACCTCAATGCATAGCAGGACATTGAGAGACTCGTGAGCTTCTGCGCTTGTTGGCTCTTTCGTCGGTGTTTCATCATCCTCCTCATCTGACTCGATTTCTGTAGAAGGTTCTTCTGATAACAAATGGACGATTTCGGTGTCAGTTAGTGACTCTATGATTCCTACCTCATTTTTGTCAATCTCGACATACTCAGCAAACGGGGTTATGTTGTCTGCGCACAAAATATCAGCTAATCTGTCCCAAATATTTGCAGATATGGATAGCTCGTCGTTTTCTTCGACTTCATTCTGCTCGGTTGCATAAAACCACATTTTCGATAGCAACTCTTTATGGTAAATTCTTTGACCTTTTTCCAGCTTGATTTGCTTGCAATCATCGCATCGAGAATGTTCCATTTAAAATCAGTGTCAGCTTCTGCGGCTTCTAAACGACGGGCAGCCAGAATTTGGCGATAATGAAGCTTCAAGTTCTGTTGTTTTCGACCAGTGCGATCTTATTTAACGTGCAGAGGAAACGGAGCCAAAGAGATGCAAACTGTTTGTGCAATGTGTAATGTTAAACTGTATCCTTTTAACCCTTACAGTTATTTCAAGATCAAAGAAAATATTAAATTTGACGCCCCTTTTTCTGGGCAGGTGTTCCCCGCATGTTTCGGAATTCCAGAACATGTGTTTCATCAGAATTTGATTATAACATATACTTCTTTTCTATTTTTTCAGATGTTGTTTATGCAAGTCTGTTTGGTGGTTCCTCTATATTGTATGTTTTGCACGTTTCAATATTTGGAAAAGAAAATTTACGTGACCTGATGATATCTTCTGAGGAAGCAAAGGGATGAAGGTATGCAATAGTCGTCAGAGCTTCACGAGACTACGCCATGTTTACTGAGTCAAAATTTTTTTATTAAGCCTTTTGTACCGCAAATTTGAAAATACCACAGAAAATCAGAGACATGCCATATTCAAGTACTTTTTGTTGGAAAATGTCCACATCTGGATATACATAATTTGTGAACACCTTTGGACATTATCCGAGTTTATACTCAGACGAGTGTCGGACGAACATTTTCCCTCTTTTCCATGCTATTTTCAAATTTGCTTATTGCTTTTGAAGTCAGGGTGGCAAGATGTTGACATTAAGATTTGATTTACATTTCAATACATCATTCACAAAACAACCCGCAGAGCAGGTTGTAAAATCTGAGGAATGAATGTTTGATTGACGAAGGAGGAACAAGAAAGCCACCTGCAGAGCTTTAACATCAGCAAGTACTGAAAAGTTGACAAAAGAATTGGATAAATATATGCAGGGCAAATGATGCAAGGAATATTAAAATCATGACATTCTGTATAGTCCATCATTTCAACTAAGAATCTATGAGCTGCTGTAAGAGAAAGAGAGTGTAACAAGCCTAGTTTGTTAGTTGTGATTCAATCGACATCAGACAATTTCACAGAACTGTTGCCTGGATTTCTTCTGTCCCAACCTCAGCCTAGCAAATATGATGTTGTATGCATGTTTAATAGCAGTTGTGATTATACAAGGTAAATGTACAGTTTATGCTCAGCCTGTTCAATGAAATTACTATTAACAATATCTTCAATACAAATCCTTCATATTGATGTGTGTCTTTCAACTGTTTTTTTTGCGCAACCATAGCTACTAATCATGAGGACGTTTGCATTTCAAAAGCGAACAGTTATTCTAAACTCTTTGAAATAACAATAGAATCCCTGATAAAAGTATTGTACGTTTTAAATAAAAAGAAGCACGGAGAGCCTCCTTTCTTGCTTTGTCAACGTCGTTGAATTAAATGTTATTGCCTGGTGGATCAGAATTACCCCTGTGCTTGAATAATTTGTAAATTGGCGAAATTCGAATAGTTCGTAAAATGATCACGAAATTCGTAAAGTTAATCATGGTCATGTAGATACCTTCTGAACATTACCTGGTAATTTACCACGATAGAATGAGAGAAGATGTTGAATTGCAAACAGCGTCCAATTTAAGAATACCAATTATTGTGTTAGTAGTGTTGAAAGCAATACCATGAACTTTTTAAGGAATATTTGTTGATAAATGTCAAGAATCGTAAAATTTTTCCTGGTCATGAAATACCTAAGCACCCACTTTACACTTCAAGAAGAACAGAATTGAACAGTTTTTAAGAAAAGAAAAAAATTTCATTTTTCTATGGAAATATTGTTCTTGTTCAAGCTTCATCGTCTCTAGCAATATTCTAAATGATTTGCAAAATTATTTATGCACCAGAATTAGTAAATGACTAAATATCAGCTGAAATCAGAAAATGATAGGAGATTCTAATGAAATCCTCCTATAATACGTTTGGGATGTAGATTTATATGCCAAATATAGCTTATGATAGCAAATCCTATGCCGTAATCCAAAACCTTCTGATAACGTAAGACATCGATGGCAAAAATATTTTTGTTTATTTTTAGTTGATTATTCAGCTGGACTAAACTGTTGGGATTGTGAAAGTGACATGGATTGGAGCAAATGCAAGTTGCTCAAGACAAAAGAGTGCGTTTGGCCACAGACAAGATGTGGCAAATTCTATACCAAACAGGGAGCTGTGGAGACATACAGACGTGATTGCTTTACGGAGGAGTATTGCCGCGTGAAGCCGCAATGCACATCGCAGTTTTCAAAATGCGAAATTAGCTGCTGCGAAGGAGATGCCTGTAATGCAGCTAATGTTGCAACCATTCCGTTGTGGTTGTGCGTATTATCAGCCATTGGTATTTACCTAATATTCTGTCTGCAGCAATATTGAGAAGCAAAGAACAGATAACACTGCCAATTTATTATATCTCTGTTTTTTGAATCTATAAATATTAATGTAAATAGCAAGTGACGACCTGCATTTAGGGAGTGTCATTTTTAACCCTGGGCCTCAGGGTGGAAGAATTCCTGAGGGGTATGAAATTCTTTAGCCTTGTTTTATATTGTTATCATATTATGTTCACTTATTTCTTATGGGGTTATCAACCTTTTCAAGTACATCTCCACCGAGGTATAATTTGGACATCTTCCAAAAAACAATGGCTATTTTTTTGCAGTGATATATAACAGTGCGATTTTGCTAAAGGATATTGATAACAAAATTTATTTGGTGTACTAAAACATTAGCTAGTGCAGATTGGAAAAACATGGATCATACCCATATGCCATAATAGCATAACTAAAGGCATCAGTTAGGTGCAGTCAGCTGTTATTGAATCAAAGAGCCTGTTTCAATAGATGGCTAATGATTATAACGATCTGGTACTGCATTAAATTTAAACTGATACAAGATTCTCACAAACCGAAAAAGAGATTTAGATGCAAGAAGCGAGGAGAAATAATATTAAGGCATTACTAATTTTCATTATTTTGAAATGGGGTTTTTTGATTTAGAGACTGGGGTAAGAAAACTTTTCCATTTGCCCCCAAAAATTCTACCATACCTGTACCCACCATTAAAAATGACAACCCCTTTGGATATGTTAGGGACTAGCAAATAATGCCATTAATAATCATTACTTTATTGTAACTTGATTGCATTGAAAATAAAAATGTCTTTTACATCAAAGATTTAATGTGCCTCAATAGCTTTGAAAAAAGCAAATACTTTACAACATTCTAGAAGCTTTTCCGTGTGACACTCCTCAGAGCATAAAACATCTTTAATGTGTTCTTTAATCATTTTTAGTCTTTTGAAAAAAATTTTTCTGAGTGAGGCTATAAATTCTGTTCCAATGCCTTTACCGGAGTGAGGTTGATAGCCAACCATACCCAAAGGAGGTTTTCATTCAACTGATGAGAAATCTACGACACATTACGTTTAATTCATCTTTAACAATAAAATGTACCAAGAAAAGGATGGTGTACATAGGGCACTCATGAAACTTGTGTACATTCAGCAAAATAATCTGAGTGTGGTTCATTTGTCGAATGAGAGGTAAAAACCTATGATTATTAGGAAGATGGCGGAGCTTTAGGGCTAATAAAAGATTGCTCTCATCTTCTACGGTGGCCGTTGGGTGATCCTAAAGTTGACCGCATCATTGGTAAATTTTGAAAAGTAGCGAAGAATTTGGTGTCGCTTTTTATCGGTATGATGAGCAGACGTTAACTTTGCGGCAAAGATTCGGGAAGCATATGTGCATTCTAGAAATTGTTATGGGTATGGGAAATCCTTTATTGGATGAAAGCAAAGATCTACTCGTGCTTGATACATGTAAGTACGTACGCACTCAGGGGGAGGGGGGAGTCGACCAAAAATCGTACGCTTGCGTGCAAAGGGGGAGGGGGTGTAATTGGTATTTAGTACGTACGCTTAAGAAATTCCTAAACGGGAAATTTGAGCCTTGCAAGCTTGCTCATTCATTGTTCATATGGCAGAGATTTTAATTGGAAGTTTGTTGCATATTTTCATCCTACCTAAAATCTGCTCTGTTTGATGAACTTCCGATAAAAACTATGTAAAAGGCTTTGCCTGTTAAAAAGCTACGTACAATAGGCTCAATGTCTAAGAATCTGCTTCGATATGCTTCACATGATTACATAAATAAGACAACTGCATTAACATATATTATAACAAGGAATTGTGAATATGGACAAATCCCTGAATTTCCCTGAAAATTCTAAATTATTTCCATTATACCTTGAAATGGGGGGGGGGGGGTAAAAAAGATATACGCAGTATACGCAAAACGGGGGGGGGGGGGTATACGACAAGCGTACATGTGCGTACAAGGGGGAGGGGGGGTCAAAAAGTTGCTCTCAAACTGCGTACGTACTTTATGGATGACCCCAAAGTAAGAATCATCGAACTAGCCGGTAATAACTGTTATACTCTTGATTTCGTACAAAGAGGTGCGTGAAGTGAACACGGCCTATATTCATTACGGCAAATACATTATATTTAATCCTAAAAGACAATTGGTGTTTTACTTTTGACCATTCTTCCTGATCTTGTTCTCCGGTTTTCTGCGGCTACCTCCTCCACATCCTCCTCTTCGCGTGTTGGTTCTGTGGAATCAATATCTGATTGGCTGTAGGGGATTGCGTTTTGTGTCATCATCACTGACACGATCTTCTCCCTTTTTTTTGTTCTCAGCGGCTCTCTCTTGTATTCCTCCTATTAGGGTGGCCAGGCTACTTCTGGTTGCAGTGAAGTTCATGTAACACATAAAACGTAGGTTTCGTCTCAATTTTCAGCCGTTTGGTAGACAAACTTCTTAGGATCTTAGGATCTTTCGGACTTTTTTTAGTATTTTACAGTATCTGGGTATCAACTGCTTGGCTTGGTTGAAACTCTTCTTTGGATTGCCTAGTGGTGGTGTATTTTGTATCGTAATATGCTTTTGCCTGGACTCTTTCCATCGAAGAAAAACGTAACAGTGGCGAATGATATCTTGGAATCTAAGGAAATTGTCTGTAAGGGTAAAACCATTCAGTAGCTTGGCAGAGGACAACCTGCACTTAATAGGTGTGCTTCGGAGTATTAAACATCCTTGAATAATGTCTTTTTTGAAGAATGTCTTTGTTGAAGCAATATTAATAAGCCGTTTTACTCCTTTGACTGTGCACTCTGCAAGTATATTTTATTGAGCTCCTGTGCAATGCCACGTTGTGCAAAAGCATCCTTTATTGCATGTACTACATTTTGTGAGTCGGCTCAGCCTAATAGATAAACTTCAGTCCAGAGCAGGCAACATGCCAAGGGCGGGCATGGGGGGTGCATTGTCCACCCAACAAGAATTTTTTGTTCCTCTTTGCCCGTCTAAAAATTTTAGTAGGAAAACATGTTTTTTCTAAAAAAATAGAAAACAGCGTCTTCCTATATGATGTTCGAAAAAGTAGGTCTCAGCAAAGTCTGTGCATCTGTGCATTCATGGTGGAAACCAATATCGACTGTGTACCAGTCCACACAATACTATATCTAGTCAATCTGACTGCTGATATGCTTCAGCCTGCTTTGAATGCTTGTTTTTGGCACTGAAAACAGCAAGGTAGATGTTCAAAACGACGACGCTATACTGCAAAACGAAACCCGAACTTCCTTCATTTTGAACAAAAATCTTTGATCCCATTGTTGTTTGATGGCTTATTATATATGATAAGGCTCCGTTGCAACTTTCATTATGGCTTAGTTCCCTTTTACAGTTCATTTTTGGATTTATTCTGTTAAATACGTAAACGAAAACAATATTCGCTTCTAGAAAGGAAGATTACAAAGACTGCAAAATTCCTTTGGTGGGCAAGATGATGAATCTGTATCAAACTCTGTATCAATTGCAAAACATTAAATTTTTAAGGGTTTTTAAACTGTTACTTAAGTTTTTCAAAACTGGTACTCGGCGGCGGACTGGCTCAGGGTTTTTAACCGGTCATGAAGAACTGAGGAGGGCCAAGGTGAGTGTGGTATAAAAATTAGGGCGTGGTCAAGTGAATACTTCACCAAAATCGGTCAATTTCTAAGCAACATAACATTTGTAGCTGGAATAGCAAAGTTGAGCTGTTGATTACAAGTGGGTACAGAGTACTATAATTGAAATTGAACATCAATTAATGAAAATTCCGTCTGATTTGGATTTCAGTAATTTTGCACCAGATACCTTCTCGTAGAAAAAAAGGTTAAAAATAATAAGAAAACTAACCTATGATTCATAAAGGACAGTAAATGAAAATGAACGAATATCTGAGTTGTGAGGAAGCCTCATCCCTACTGAAACTTTAACTAAAGATCGCAGACCATATAGCAAACTAAAAAGGAAAGTACACTGATTCCATGGCAGACTCCCATGAGGAAAACATTGAACGCTCATTGGATTGTCCAAATTTCTATCAAAAACCCAAAATGGAAAAGACTTGTTTAGCGACAAATGAAGCCAAAGTTCTGTAAAAACCAACAACAAAAATCAAATATTTCTGAAACCAAAGGATTAAATTTGCTCAAAATAATGATTTGCATATACGGAGCACCAAGCTTGTTGAACCCAGTTGCTGGGTAATTGTTTCAAAAAGGATATTCAGCTTTCTTATTATCATTCTCAGATATTCGATGGTAACAATTGTGGCCAGCTTGCAGATATTTTTATCAAATTAATTTTCAATACCGCTCTACGAAAATATCATAATTTATTCATAATATCATAGCTAAATGATAACAAGTAGATTCCCATGAATTTTTTGTTATCTTCGATGTCTGTATTTCATACTTAATACGTGCTTACATTCGATATTTTTCGCAAAACTTTAAGGTTTATCATTTCATAAACCATTTCGATCAAATACTACCAGAAGTTGCATTTCTCGCCATCACATTCCAAGAAACCAGTGATCAGTCCTGTCCTCTTTTTGGGACAACTTTGACTTCTCTTCTGAGAACCATTTGTTCGTCCTTTATGTGAAATTTCGCTAATTCTTGTCATTTTCTTGACATCTTTTTTATGTCAAATTTTCATTCCATGAGGCAATACCTTGATCCGTTAATGTTTCAAACTAAACAGTCAAGCGCAAGAAAAAGACTAGATTATTCGGTAGACGAATCTTTAAGATGATGCAGCAGTCTCCGTTGAAGTATCATCGCATTATCTTAAAGTCATGGCTTGAGTAAAAGAAATAGTTACCGCCGGAGTTTGTTTGAAAGTTAACACGACTGCTCTCTTTGTTGCTAGCTTTAACCCTCGTCAAAGGCATAATTTTAAGTGAACTCTGCAAGTAATGCTGTGGATATAAACTGAGCTTGGATCTATGAAAAATCAAAATTCCAGAAAATTCCATCAAATTAAAAATTACAAATCCCTATTTACCTTCCATAACTTACGCAAGTCATACTATTTTAATTTTGACCCAATCCTTTTTACAACCGTATGCAATAATGCTATATTCAACGTCAGTTTTGATGTAATCCGTGACGTTTATCATTCGTAACGGGATATTGTAAGGCCTCATATTCCTATTATGGGGCCTTATTTCTGCAAAAATGGGCCGATGGGCCAGTCTGTTACTAAAGTTCATGACTTGAAATGACAAGAAACGAGCTCCATCGCTTCGCTCAGTTAACAAGCCGACTTTAACCCGGTATACCCTGGGTACAAGACCCACTCTGTATAAAATAAGAGAGATCCTCTCTTAATTTATATAGAGTGAGTCAGGGGCAGGCCCGGTTTCAGGAAAATGTTTTGGAGGGTGCAAGTTTTTATCTACCGAGTACATTTTGGCAGCGTACACTGCGTTAATGCAATCAGAATATTTTAGCATTGTTAATATTCAAATTTCAGCTGTTACAAAGCAACTTCAGCTGTAAAGCTATTAGTTTTATGAAAGTTCTAAAATAAGCTTTTGTGGTCACGTAGTTTATTCAGCCTTTAGAAACACTGAATCGAACTCTTCTGTTCTTCAACTGGACCCATGTCTTGTTAACAGAGAAGTTCTGTGAAAAGTATTTCTCGCACGAAATTAGCGTAAGAGATTGTAGACGATTCTGGAGCATTGTGCTTTGCAGTTTTCAGATACGGGGGCCACATAATTGAGACTGGGGGGGCTAAGAATCAAGTTTAGTGACATAGGAGGACCCACCGCGAAAGAAATTTTATGGCATTTAGCCTACTAGAATGGCTAAAAATGCATCTCCCAGACTAAAATTGTCTCTACTTTTGTCTAATTTCTTGGGATTAATCTTCTTCTGTGATGTTCCTGAAAATCCTCTTCTGGACCAACGGAAAAACTGAACTGCAGAACTTTTTAATATCTTTGAATGTTTTAAAAAAATTTTAAACAATTTTTTTCCAGGTCAGTGAAAAAGTTCAAAGCCAACTTTCTGCCAAGGATGCAAATCCTTGAATCAAATTATTTTATATAATGACAAGAAGCAAGTAAATCTAGGCAATTGCTGATGAAGGTCCAAACAATTTGTGATTACATGTAAATCTTTAGGAAAGAAAGATTGTGAATTTCAAGATTTTTGTTTAGTAAAGCAAGCAGTATTGTAGATAAATATTTAAATTTCATATGTTAGACACAAGTAAAAAATTTATTCTGGCCATAGAAAATATGGATTTTGAAAAGGATATGAAGAAAGGCAATATATCCCACAATCCTACAGTCATTTTACAGAATGATAGCTCGCATGAAGATTGCTTCAGGTGAAGATATCCAATATCCCCACAGTCATGGGCATTTCAAAATTAGCCATGCTACTGATTATAAAAATTAACAATGCTAAAAGCATCTGTCTTGTTTATAACAACTGCATTATGCTGTAGTAAACTACATGTACCAATGCTCTTTGATATAAGGTGAAATGTTATGATGGCCTTTTCATGCACTTCAAGAATAATTAAACCCAAATCTAAATGTGCCTCAATTATATGTTATTTACATCAGGAAGGACATATAACAAACCTTGTATCAAAAAAGGGCATATATCAAAATATGCTTTAACTGCCCAGATGATGTTTCCAGAACTAATGAAGTTCAAATACTTGATGCCTATAAAAGTCATAAAATTTTCAATAGATTTGATATTAAATTGTGATTCTCAGTTGAGATATTGCTAATTTGATCCAGCTTACTTCTGTATTTGTGTTTTGATATACCATCTTCTGATGTTTGCTTGGGTCACAGCAAACTCCTGGAAATGCTTTTTTTATGAAAACTCAAGCTATCAAAAGTGTCTTTGGTTGAGTTTGTATGATTGCTGAACCGACTGTGATTGATCACTCTCTAATAAGGAAAGGCCTGGTATCTATAATTGACAAACAAGTATATGCACAAAACAACCATTAAGGGTACAACATGCATTTAATTCACACCTTGTTGTCTGAAATGGTAAGAATATCGAATTCAATATTGGTTTTCTAAAACTACCCGTTTACAAAAAATGGAGGATTGTTGAAATAGCTATCCAATAAATACCATTCATTTTCCAAGCAAAATTTTAGAATCAAATGACTTAGCTTTGCAGATAATATGTATCTCATTGTGCTGGTATCAAATTTTTAACTGTTACACCAATGACATATTTGTCTGTTTGAAAGCCATAGTATTTCATATGCAGTGGCACCAATAGACCTTTCCCCTAATTACATCATGACGCAATACATTCTGGTACTTGTAGTTAAACCCCCAAACATTTGTTTATGTTTTGTACAGGGATCGAATGAATTTCTGTTATTATTCAATGCTCTTTGATAACAAAATCAAACAAAACATGGAAAATATGGCAGAATTCGCAGAACATCACATCCCTAGTTTTTCTCAAAGCTCTTGCCCCGGAACTGATGTTGCATAAAGTCTTTCAGCTGTTGTGATTAGGTCAAAAAAGGAAATCTAGTAGTTCACTCTCAATGGACAAGAAGATAATACGGACCTCAAAAGATAAATTATACCAAACTTCTAAAGTGAACAGCACAATGGAAGACTCCTCAATAATTCAGTAACAATACTAAAGAGCGGAAGTGCACATTAGGCCTGATAGCGACAGAAGTAAAAACACAGATATAAACTATGGAAAGAATATCTACGTTCAGTATTTATGATGCCCAATATTACTGGGAGGAAACTGTTATTTCTTGTGAAGGCCAAGGCTTTCTCTTCAATTAGATCAAGTATTGAAAACATCAAGTATTATGTCTTTGTCCATTTAGATCAAATGAATGGGGATACATACAGATAATGCCAAATGTAACTGCAAAGCAAGCAGAGCATGGGTGCTGCAAGCATGTAGCTGCTCTATTTTACACCTTTCTTTTCTGGATTATTTGAACTTGGAATCAGAATGAATACCTAGCGACATGAAATGTATAGATGGACTTGAATGGATAGACTTTGTGGTTCATACACCACATTGAAAGAATCCCCAAAGATAATTTCTAATGGACAGACAGAATGCTCCCAATTTTGACTGATTTTTTTGTTAAGTATATTTTTCCCAGACTCCTTTAATTTGTGATGGTAATAATAAATTTAAAACAATATGAATGAAAATATAGCTTAACATAATGCAAAACATAATAATTATATATACAATAATTTTTTTTTTTGCTGCCCAATTAACAAACTACTTCTACTGAAGCAATGGTGGCAAAAAAGGTAAATATAAACAATAAACTTAGAGGTAATGAAGATCATTTTCAAAACTGATAGAAAAATATGCAGCACCCTGATGATGAAGTTCTTTGCTTGTACTGCACCGTAGAAATTTTTCTTGAGCCCTTGTTGTGCTGACAGATAATCCTTGCTGCTCCGCCCCCCCCCCCCCAAAAAAGAAGGGGTTATATCTAGGCTAACACAATTTGGCAATTTTTTTAATATGTTTTATCTAAAAATAATTTTAAAGTCTTTAACAGGTTTGATGGGATCTCAATCTTCAGCAGAGTATGACTTTACAATCAGATGTAGTACAATCTTGTAAATTGATTTAAAACTTCAAAACAAATCCTACCAGTATATAACCCTTGTAAATCGCTTTGAAGCAAGCTGTGGCACAACTGCTGGTTCAAAAGCTTTTGGGAAAAAACAATTTTTGTGCAACCAGTTTTGAACACTTTTCAACTTTTTCCAACATAATGGCACAACCGTTACTGGCACCTCAAAGCCCCTTTTGAAATCACAATTACAAATTGTCAAATTGCCATTGGAACAGCTTTCTGCAATACTGATTTCCAGGCAAGAGCTTTGTGAAAACCTTGGGATGTGCTGCTTGGTACATTCTGTCTGATTTTCCATGATTTGTTTGATTATTTGAACAATGAGGGTTGAATAATAACAGTACTTTCTCAGATCGCCATACAAAACATAAACAAAAAGTTCAGGGGTTTAACTACAAGTACCATAATACATTGCGTCATGACGTAATTAGGGAAAAGGTCTATTAACAGGTTTGATAATCGTCCTGTCTGCAAACTATGTATGGTCTACATAGCACCTTCACTGGCAGTAAATAATTCAACTTTATGTAAATGCAATGTTATGAATCCTATGTGCATTTTACATACCTACATTGTGCTTTAAAGAATTAACACACCTAGTTTTGATGCTTTGATGAGAAATATAAACTGTAACTATAAAACTGCTCATTTTGGAGAGTGAATATGTATTTTCAGCTTTTGAATCGAATATACTGTTTCCTACTTTCAATGGCTTGATCAATCCACAACAGCTCCATTTCATATTCTCTTTTCATCTGCAAGATTTCAGTTCGACCCATTGATTCGAATTCTTCTCTACATATAGGCGGTACTGCTATGTCAACACCATTTTGTCCTAGCAAGTTGTTTGGACTAGTTTTTGAATCAGCTTCTACAGGTATCTCGTCTTTGGTATTTAATATCTCTGAATCTAAAAAGCTATCTTTTGCTTCATGTAAATCATCAATGCAATGAATTTCCTTGTCAGTGTCACTTTCAGCTTTTGTGAACAACTTTGTTGTCAGTCCGTTGGCAGTACACGATGAATGCACGGCTAAAGATGTAGCTTCATCTCTATCTACTGTCTTTATATTTTTTGCTTCTTTAGCAAAGGTCTCTTCAGAAGTTTTGATGTTTTTATAGACTCTTTCTCGTTCTGGTTCGAAAAGACCGTCATCGATAATTATAGGCCTACCAAAAGTTGATCGCCATTCCAAAGTATGCTGACAAACTTCCGTACCTTCCAATTCAACAAAGATTGCACGAAATTCTTCTTTGACCTTTCCTAATATTTTTCGGGTTCTGAATCCGCGATATAATGCCTGAAACGATATAACTCCGTGAATTAGTTTCGAGTCTCTAAGCTTTGAGTTTCCCGCCATGTCAACGATGAAGATGACAGCCTCTTTCCAACCATCATGGCTCGGAGCGGAAGCAAATACCGGTGCAAGCAAATACCGGATTCCCGTCAGATAGCAGAAATTTTTTATCAGCAATTTTCGATAATTTAAAGGAGGGAATGAAGTCAACAACGATATGTTTTCATATTTTTCGTTGTATTATCGCATTTGAGTGTAGGAATTAGCTACTATTTCAAAACGAGAAAAATATTAGGAGTCTAAAATGTCTCCAATGTTGAGATACCAAGGTAAATCACTTCATTTCTGTTTAAAGGGCCAGGAGATAATGATCATAAGGGGGCCTAGCCACAGCACCCCTGCCTGATAACAACTTTGTGTTCAATTTTGCGGTAGTAATCGTAAACAAATCAATACTGTTTGAAATAGGGATCCTGTGACAGAAGCTTTTAATAAATGATGGTCCTAGCAATTACCAACCGTCCTTGCCTAGCGATAAAGTATTTACAGCAAATGTCGAAAATAGGCCGTGTTTTGTCGATAATGTGACCTTTCGAGCATGGAATGCACTCTGGCCTTTCTTTTATGAAGTACAACGCAGCATATCTTATTTGAAATTTGATGTAACACATCATCTTCTTTGAGATTCGATGCGAAAATTGTGACGCATCTTGCCGACGCGACGCGCCTCTCTGACATGCAACGTGAAGCGTCTTGTATAAAGTGCAACACGCTTGGCCGAATGTTCTTCACGGGATAATTTGATCTTTTACAGTTAAATATCCAATATTTATAAACGGTGAAAACTTTGATAGGGCCAAAATATTGAAAAAGAAACATGATTCACTAAAACTTTATACAGCATATTGACGATAATGAATATTACTGTTTACGGGATATGAAACTTACTGTTTACCGGATATGAAACTTACTTTTGACCGGATATGAAACTTACTGTTTACCGGATATGAAACTTACTGTTTACAGGATATGAAACTTACTGTTAACCGGATATGAAAATTACTTTTTGCCGGATATGAAACTTCTGTTTACCGGATATGAAAATTACTTTTTGCCGGATATGAAACTTACTGTTTACTGGATATGAAACTTACTGTTTACCGGATATGAAAATTACTTTTTGCCGGATATGAAACTTACTGTTTACTGGATATGAAACTTACTTTTGACCGGATATGAAACTTACTGTTTACCGGATATGAAAATTACTTTTTGCCGGATATGAAACTTACTGTTTACCGGATATGAAACTTACTGTTTACCGGATATGAAAATTACTTTTTGCCGGATATGAAAATTACTTTTTGCCGGATATGAAACTTACTGTTTACCGGATATGAAAATTACTGTTTACCGGATATGAAACTTACTGTTAACCGGATATGAAAATTACTTTTTGCCGGATATGAAACTTACTGTTAACCGGATATGAAATAACTATTTACCAGATACGAATATTAATGTTTGTCATAATGCTATCGATTCAGAACAAGCAAAGCTGTGTATGCTTTGGTGCAGCTCTGAGTTTCAGGCTTGTTTGTCAGAGTTACATGCAACGAGTTCCACGCATACTATTGGTAACAAAAAATTCTACTACAGGCACCCGTTTCCTCGCCCACTTCTACAACGTCTCTGATCTCAGGACTACTGCATATTTAATTTTACCAGATCTGTTTTATACTACAAACAGTTCCTTGGATTGAAAATAGCAGACAGTTTCAAACCACAAAAAAATGTGAATAAATATGCCTTCTTGCTTGAAATCAGTTTTTTCTGGTGCGGCCAGGGTAAAGGCAAGAAAACAACGAATATTTATGAAAGATTATATCTAGATAGAAAACCTATAGATTATGAAAATTTAGATAGAAAACCTATAGGGATCTAAAACTAGTGCGTTCTCACAAGAAACGACTCGATTTATGTTATGCCAATCTGATGTAATCTAAATCTGGGATGCCAGATTTTCTCAACTGCTGTAATCTGTGAAGATCGCGCAAGATAGCAGACACGCCAGCCTTGGATTCGGCATCAAGATTGTTAAAGTGGAAGCAACCGATGTCAAAAGACTTATGAATAACAAACAGCAATTTGATTTTGATTCTCAAGCATCCACCAACATGGTCACGCCATGACAGATTGTAAAAATCCAAGCATAACGACGCAAGCTTTTTGAGAACAGGAATTTTGAAGCAAATGGGCGGAGGATTCTTCACTAAAAGAAAAAATTACACATTTTGATTTACATCAGCTACGCTCATTTTTTATAAGAATATCGTTTATAAGAATATTCAGGCTCAGAATCATCTAATTTGTTCAACCTCAGCTCGCACATTTATCTCTCATTTTTCCGCAGTTGCCTGTTTTGCTATGTTCATAACAAAGAATTTCAAAACTGACATATCTCGTTGTTCAAAAAGCGGTGTTTAAGAGTCGGCGACGTTCCCCTGAAACCAAGTGAGAATTGAAAGAAGAAAAATACTTTAAGAATATTCTCCTGCTCACAATGCAAACTTGTCAAAAACATCGAGGCTGGACCAAATTTATAGTATTCTTATGCAAAAGAGTGTATCTAGATGTCTTTCTTGAGGGCTCCGGTCATGGAGCAGTGTAAAGTTTATATCTTCGTCATAATTTAGAAGGCAGTACTCAGGATTAATTGCCGTTAACCCTCGGCTGCAGTAAGCGTTTAATTTTTTGGAAAGGAGGGACAAAAGACAATGCTTAGCTACTTGAAACTTCCGAAAAAACACAAAGTAGCAAGGTACAATATAGGGAATTATAGCAGGTTGCGTTAAACAAGGAATAATATCCGGGATGAGAGCATTTGCACCCTTTTTTCATATTAGAAAAGACCCTTAAACTTCAGTCATTACCTCTTTATAGCACTTCAATGATTATGCTTCGCGTTTAGGAAGCACCAGCACTCAATTATCCGATTACTACATACCTTACATGTGTATATTTTTAATGGTTGAAAATAAATCTTAATAACATAATGGTTTATTTACTGGGGTCCAAAGTTTGAAAGCGATAGACTTTTAACAGGTTGGTTGTTGTCCTTCTTATGAATCACATCAGTAGCATTTGATATTTATTATCCATTCAGATGTTCTTCAATAACATTTCAGGAAAAATAAATTAAATACTTTCTCACTTGTCTCTTGAAACAACTTAGCTTAAAAATATGAATGTCAGTATAAACAAACCTGAAATCTCCTTCGAGAGAACAACTCTCCCATCAATGCTGACTTCGAGTTTTAAGCCCTGTAGCAAAGTAACAACATGGTAATGAATTTGTTGCCAAAGGAAAAAGCAAAACATTTATCGACGCCCTTGACTTTTGAAATGTGTCTATGAAGTAAGCCTCGATTGATTTCTTATGATAGTTGAAAAAACAAGAAATATATCAGAGGCCCTTTGCAAACTAAAGAAAAGTTCAGATAAGGTAAACACTGTTCAAATGCATGGTCTTACATACTTTGAGCCCTCCTGACTTTTCTTAAGACTTTCTAAGTTTCATCAAGTTCACGATCGATTGCTGCTTCACAAAGAAAGAAAAAGCTGGCAAAGATTTCAATAATTATCTTTTTTTGAAAGTACCTTCATTCCTGGTCATTAACATCAGTGGATACCGTTGCACTTTGAGCCATATGCTTGTTTTGATTGATGACAAACGACAAAACCTGATTTTCTTCGTAACTCAAGTTTATATTGGCTGTTGCTGAGCAAGTTATATTGTTGCCAGTACCGTAGAAAAGGTAGAATTATAAGAGGGGCAACATTTTTGGCAAGCATTAGGAATAAAAGGGATTAAATCCAGGATCTTCATAATATTGACGGGGGCCATGAGACCCCCAACCGGGAGCAATGGTAGTTACAGCCCTGACTATTTATGAAACTTTAGAGCCCTTTAGTACCTGCTGTAACTTCCGCAAAAGCCCCGCTCCTCCGAGCTTGGCTTCTTAAGCTCAATCTCCAATAGGCGGAGAATGTCAAAGTAGAAATGCGTCCTGCGATCGCACAGTTTTGACACTTTGGAAGGGAACCTCGTTTACATAGAAAAATCTCTTATTGAGCTAGAAACAATCGAAACTATTTCAGTTTGTTCCACCGTTGACGATTTCGTGCTTTGTATCAATCTATTTTACAGAGCCTTCATTTTTTTCGGTTAAAATTTCGTTGGGGTTTTAAAAGGTATCTATAGTTTGCAACACAACAACATTTACATAAGCTTCAATTCCCTCTTCTAATTTGGCATTTTCACCGACAGCACACATTCATTTTTGTCATTACGAAAAAGGTCTTCAAAATGTTACAGATATTACTATTCTTTTCTATTTTTGTCAGGTGCTGCTTGGGTTGTAAGACTAGATACTATCCGTTGATTTCTAACAGGGGACAGGCTTTGTTGAATTTTGCCCAGGGACCCAGCCCCCCTCCCCCAGTGTTGCCGCACCCCTTGATCCCTTTCTACTAAAGTTCGGGTTCTACACACAGCTGTTTTTGGAAAACGACGCTTCCACCATTAATAAGAGGCAATTTACCTGGCACAAAGAGCGGAGAGTGATTGGTTTTTAGTAGCAATTTTGTTTCAAATAATTTATGAGGGATTCCCTAAATATTTAAGGAGCCCTCCAATTAAATGAATACAAAATTAACAAATTAGCAACAATAATTAACATATATCAGCTACAAAAGAAAATTGAAACATTGAATATCTAATTACTAAGCCCTAAAAAGCTTTTGTTAGATAACGAAAATATTAAGCCATAAGGTTTTTACCAGATGTGCTGAGATGTAGCTGATGTTGACGCACACTACAATAGATAGAGATAAGTTACGGAAAGCCAATAAAAGTATATTTGAATGATAGTCAAATTTCAGACATTGATTTTGAACAAATTTTTGGCGGTACAGAACTTGGAAATAGCTTTTTCGTCTGACACTCCTCAGAGCATAAAACGTCAAAATAAGGGTCTGAAAGAACACGATGAAAAATATATACCCAGTTTTGGATGGAAATAGGCCAATCAGAAAAACGCAAGAACAAGACTGGTATAGTTGACCAATCAGTGCCGCGTTCCTAAAGAAAAATTACCACTGGAGTACAAGAGAGAAAACGAACTCCTTCTGTCTACACAATGGCGGCTTTTTCGTTTGTATGTAGATCGATTCCAAACTGCTAGATGGAAGGACGACCAGGCTCTGCCAATTACCCGAAACATGTCGTCATTATAGAGTTTTGCACAATCCGGGTTTTCTAAATAATGTTGAACGATGGCAGCACCACTTGTTTTAACAGTGTTTCTAGACCTACAAGGTCAAGGAGGCTGTTCTCTTTGATTTTCATTGATTTTAAAAAAGCACAAAAGTTAACAACTGAAGCTCAAGACAAGTCTTGTTTCTCTGGATTGTGTTTTTTCTCAACTTATTTACTGCCCTGAGTACCAGAGTCTCTGTTATTTAGTCCCAGAATATAGTTAAAAGCTAGTATCTATTCACTTTTTGCCACCGCAGCCGTCTACAGTACCTTATCCCCGGATTCATGAGGCTCTAGCACTCAGGGTACTTACTTCCCCAGGATGCAATATGATACTATAAATTTTCAAGATTGGACAGCGATAAATAACTCAAAACATCTTGAAAAAATATTTAACTGTGTCTTAAAATAAGAATATATAACAGAATTAAGATTGAATGTGTTAACCTGTAGTGTCCAAGATGTGGGGGATATCTATATGTGCACAGCAGCTACAGACGTTATTCTGGCAAGAGCAACCATTTGCTGGATTTCTATCCATCGGAAAGTGGGTGTCTTCGACGTTACCAAGAGAGTGATCAGCATCGTCGATGATAACCTCTGAAAATGGAAACAGTGCTATCATTAAAAAAATTAAAAACAAAACTTTTTTTTCGCTGGAAAAAGATAAACTCTATCGAAAGTGAAAATGTAGTGACATCTAGCCTCTTTCTCTTCAACCGCTTAAGTTAAGCACAATAACTAGATCATATGTCCCACACTTGCTCGTTGAAGCTAAAAACGAGAAATGGTACAGTATTGAGCAAGTTAGGCAAATTATTGTTGTATTTTCTATAGATTGTTTAGTATCTAAATCGTATGGATTGTCTCCTCTGTTGCAGTCACAGAGGCATTGACTTTGTATCGCTAACCAGATACTACGTACTTAACCCCCGTCTTCTTTGGGACGGGCTCAGCAGTGTGACCAGATCACAATTTCAGAATTATGCCAAAATTGTCATAAAATTATGCCAGATTTACAAAAATTATGCCAAATTTCACATCAAGGCTATCCTATTTGGAAAAGAGGAGGCTAGTGCATGCGCAAAGAGTGGCCAAAATATGTTCACTTTACAAAATGAATATAAACAGCTAAGAAAACTAATGCAATCAATTAATCATAAAATATGTGTATATGTAGTTATGTATTTGTAAAATAAAGATGGGCCGTATTTTTTCCTGACAGAGCTATTTCTGGAAACCGTTATTGCCAACTTAGACAGTAACCAATCAACTACCTCCAAATACAGACGAGATTAAAAACTCTTGCTGCCTTGTACTAGCCACATATTTGGATGTAATGTATTTGCATGCAGTTTCGATAGACAGCGGGGGATCACTTATCAATGGAAACAATCACTTTCTTATCAAATATTAAAATTATGCCAGAATTATGCTAGATTTCCAACTATGCCAGATTTTATGCTAAAGGACAATTTTTGGCCAAAATCATGCTAAAAGCATAATATTATGCTAGATCTGGTCACACTGGGGCTCAGAAAGCATGGCTTCTACCGCTGGAGACTGAGAAGAAACATGTCGCTTTAATGCGATAAATATAGGTTCCTATGATGGCAGGAGAAACTCTCATCGACTTCTGTAAAGTAAACAATCTTGTCGTAGCCAACACGCTTTTTGATCAGCATCCAAGAAGACTGTACACTTGGACATCGCCTGACAGAACGATCAGAAATCAAATCGACTACATCATGATCGAACAGAAGTGGAAAAGCTGCCTGAAAGATGCAAGAACTCTACCAGGAGCCGACTGCAACAGTGATCACCAACTTCTGTCCGCCAGGATCCGAATGCGACTGAAGAAATTAGATCAACCACCACCAACGCTACGTCTAGATTTCTCCACTCTAGGCGAAAAGTACAAGATTGACATTAACAACAAATTCGAATCCCTGCTAGAGTGTGAAACTGAAGAAATTCCCCCTAACGACTTCTGGAAGTTAGGCAAGGAATGTCTAGTCGAAGTTGCAAAGCAAACTATCCAAAAGCGAAAAAAGATAAAAAATGATTGGATCTCAGAAGAAACAAGAGCAGAAATCGAGAAACGAAGATGTCTGAAAGGAACAACCGACGAATACAAAAAACAAAATGCAACAGTACAAAGAATGATGAGAAAAGACAAAAATCAGCAAATAGACAGAGTCTGTAAGAAAATTGAAGAAAACTCCATAACTAATTCAACCAGAGATCTGTATCGAGGAATCAAAGATCTGACCAAAAAGTTCAAACCAACCATTGACACAATAAAAGATGAAAACGGTAATGCTTTGTGCAATGGAGATGATGTCAAAGAAAGATGGAAGTCATATTGCGAAGATCTGTATAAAATTAATGACAACTTAGCACACGACAACTTTGCGTTCGACCAAACCGAAGAAGAACCGCCCCCTCTGCGGAGTGAAATCCAGAAAGCCATAAATGATTTGAAAAACAACAAAAGCACAGGTATCGACGAAGTGGCCGCGGAACTTGTTAAGAACGGTGGAGAGAATGTCGTCGAGTTTTTCCATGTTCTCTGCAAAAAGATCTGGAAAGATAGAAAATGGCCAGAGGATTGGATTACATCAGTTTTTGTACCCATCCCAAAGAAAGGAGACGTTTTAGAATGCAGTAACAACAGAACAATATCTTCAATCAGCCATTGCAGCAAGATCCTTCTAAAAGTTATAGCCGGTCGTATGAAGGGTAAACTAAATGAAGAAATTGCAGATGAACAATGTGGATTTCGTGCAAACAAAGGCACACGAGATCAAATTCTAAACTTGAAGCTGATAATGGAAAAACACAGAGAGCGGTGCCATAACCTGTATATGTGCTTCATAGACTACAGAAAGGCATTTGACACAGTCGACCACGAAACACTGTGGAAAGCACTGTTTGAGATGGGCTTTCCAACGCACATCATCCATCTCATAAAAGATCTTTATGACAACCAGAAAGCAGTTGTAAGAGCCACTTATGGCATGACAGATTTCTTCAACATCGGTCAAAGAGTCCGCCAAGGTTGTATACTGTCGCCGCATCTTTTTAATGTCTACTCTGAGAAAATTATGCGAGAAGCTCTAGACGGATTCAAGGGATCCATAAAAGTGGGAGGAAGAACCGTCAGTAACCTTAGGTACGCTGATGACATTATCCTTATTGCTGGATCCATGCAAGAGCTGGAAGACCTCGTCACAAGAGTCGCTAAACACGCAGAAGACGAAAGTCATGAAGATGGCTGGTGATCCAGACAACATGGAAATGCGAGATCTTGCTGTTAACGGCGAAGTCATTGAAACAGTGGATAATTTTATTTATCTCGGTGCAAACTTTACTAACGATTGCAATGACAGCAAAGAAATCAGAAGAAGGTTGGCCATAGCAAGAAGTGCAGTAGTAAGCCTCAGCAACATTTGGAAAGACCGCTCGATCACACTCCAATCAAAAATCCGAATCCTCCATACGCTAGTATTCCCTGTAGCAACTTATGGATGTGAATGTTGGGTCCTCAAGAAATGTGACAGGAACAGACTGACGTCCTTCGAGATATGGTGTTACAGAAGAATTATGCGTATAAGTTGGAGAGAAAGGAAAACGAACGAATGGGTCCTGGAAAGGATCGGCCAAGCAACCCTCATAAACAGCATCAACAAAAGGAAGTTATCTTTTATTGGCCATGTTGCGAGAAGTAAAGGCTTGGGAAATGACATTCATTCGGGAATGGTGGACGGAAAGAGGAAACGAGGAAGACCACGAAGGAAACTGGAGAACGACGTGGAAGATTTACTGGGAATGACCATGGCCGAGCTGCTTCGGAAGGCGCAAGACAAGGACACTTGGCGGACAACCATTGCGTGTGCCACGGCGGGTCAGCCTTGACCCTTCCGTTACTGATGATGATGATGATGGCAGACAAGGAATGCAAGGTTTATATATCACTTTCAATTGGTTTATAATTCGTTTTCAATTTGTTTATGGCCATGGCCATTCCACTTTTTTGAAGCAGGTAATTTCAAAGCTACAATCAAAGGTGAAAGTAGCTTTGCCCCCCCCCCCCACTTTCATTAGCCTTATTTGTTCATTTCAATGGCATCAAACTACATAGCAACGTGGTTAAGACTTCCGTTAGTTTCGTGGCTACAAGCCAGAAAGGACAGCTATCTATTAACTAGATGTAGTAAAACCTACCTTGATTACGATAAATTGTAGTAGCTGCAGTGAAGCCAGTTAACAAAATCACTAAGAAGAAAGTTTTCGCAAAGTTGTTTGTTATCATCCTGGCTTGAACACTTTGATCTATGCTTTGATCAACTTCCCCGTTGCGCGTCCTACGAGGCTTCCTTCAAACACACAGTAGATGAAATGTGATGCGCGTCTGTCAACTTTCAACTTTGGAAAAATATACAAAAAAAGCGAAAGTGAAAGTGAAATCGGATACCATACCAACTCCATTTCTGTCTTAAGCGCTCTGGTCTTAATACATCAATGTATGTTTGGAGGGAAAGGGCAGGGGCGTTACTTGAGGGTGTACGGGGTGCTTCACCCCCACCCCGCCAAACACCCCCCTTCAAAGATGATTGTAAAAAATGGATTGTGTCTTTTATATGTGAAGCACTTTTCTATACTATAGACTTACTATAATTATCAAGGTAGGATGAGATGAGAGTTTTTTCGTAGGAGAACCACAACCTGCTATTCATAACCTCTTTTGAAAAAAGTAATTCCTCACAATGACAGCAAGTATGTAATGTCCATTTTCCACCTCAATTTCACACTCAATAACCTCTCCAATTAAAACTGGTGTATCTTTATAAGCATGGTATCTGTGAATGCTGGATTCTACAAAAAGTTAAAAAACAAATGCCATTTCCGGATATTCTTAAGTCGGGACAACTCTCGGGACAACTTGAATCTGGGGATGAATCTGGTGCTGAATGGTACGCGGTCAATTGGTCTGGCTTTCTAATTGTCCTTGTAGAACGTCTTACTGCTGGGTTAGCAGATGGACTCAAGTTGGCGGCTAATGTAGATGGAGATGCGTTTGTCTCTACAATTGGAGAGGGAGCAGTAGATGGGTTAACCGTTGTTTCTTGTGTTGCTGGTGGTGAAAGCTTTCGCGTGTGGTTCTGATATCTTTCCTGTTCCTTCGCAACTGGCCCGTGTTAGTTTCGACTACATAGTAGCGGAGCTGTTTAGCTGAAGCAGCAATTTGAGCAGGATCCCATGTGCCAGTTGTTGGGTTTCGCACTCTCACATCTTGACCTGCTGCGAGGGGTGGAAGTGGACGAGTGTGTTGGTTCTACTGGGATGTGGAGGACTCTTTTATTTGGGTAAGATTTTCACAAACATCTTCATCCCCTTATGATGGGTTGCTTAAGAGTAAAGCTCTGTACTGCCTGGCGGATAGCAATTCAGTTGGAGATGAGATTTTTTCAAGATTTCGAGATTTTTATTTTTCCATCAATGGCGTAGTACAAGACAACTTGTATATTTAAGCAGCTACTGAGAAACTAACTAAAACCAACTAAATGAAGCAATACAAATAAACAGTAACATATGTCTAAAAGAACATGACTACGACTACAAGTAAGGCGAATAAAAAGAAATCATAAAGATTGTACATTTGGGGCTGTGTTCAGTTGTACATAGGTCGTATGAAGCTTTTACACAATTCACAGTAAAGCTTTGTATCAGAGGACTTGAATTAGGGTCATCATTCTGCATTAAATGAATGAACCGATCTTTGTTATTCATAAGTCTAAAGATGATGCTCGATTTGTTCAAAAAGTTGGTCCCTGATTTCCTCTTTATATCGCATGCCATCAAGCGCAATGAATTTCATCTTCTAAAATATTGCATTTAGTGCATATTCTCTCTTCTGGATTCTTTTTTGGTCTATAACATCTACTGACCTCTACCTCTAAACGATGATCAGATAATCTAAATTTACTCAGTAAAATTCTCCTTTCAATACTCTTCCCACTTGAAATATATTTTTAAATCTTAAATGAAGTTTTAAAGGTACAGTATGTTCTCATTTTCGGTTGATTTTTCAACATTGAGAGAGTATTTTGATCGGAACAATCTACTCTCCGTTTGTTTAACACACGTGTAGCGCCAATGGATCTGAATGTTTTAATTCGGTTCTCCCATATGTCTCCGAGTCGATGGCTGAAGCAAATGTATTTCAAACATCTAGACCATGTTAACTCTAATCGTATGTTACTTCGGTAAGCGTGTATCATTTTTTCATTGCTTTTTCCATCTAAAACCCAAGGTATGAAATTGTCTTATGCCTGGCTTGCATCGAAAATATACTCAAAGTATATCTTTACAAAGCATAGATGGAAGTTGGGAAGAGAGGGGTGTGGCCCTTTATGTTAGCATAGCAAGATGAGGATCCGATCCTGTTTCTCAACACTTGGTGAAAATTCTTTTAACAGTTCCTACAAGTCTCCCAATGAGTCCATTTGCACGCAGGAAATGCAGAGAGGTGGTGATACGTTCGAATCCGTATTTGTTGCTAAATTCTTTAAATTCATGGCAGACATGACGTGTCTCATTGTCAGACAAAAATTTCTCTGGGGTTCCGTTCTCATCAAATATTTCTTTGAGAAAGGAAATCCCTGCTTTTGGTGATAAGGGTGAAAGTTTCCTTACTTGTAAGGACAAGGATGTTGGAACAAGGAGATAAGTGCTATTCTCCCAGCGAAAAAGGTCAGCAGCAATGGTGTGCCATGGTTTGGCGGTACCTGGTGGGATTGGAGTGGTTCTCTTGGTTGTGCATGCTGGTGTTTTTGACAAGTTTTTGACAAGTGAAACACTCCCCTACAAGGTGCTCAAAATCTTTGTTAATGCCAACCCAAAATATGGCAGTTTTTGCTAAGAGTTTGGGCTTCTCGATGCCTTGATGGGCTGCATGTAATTGTTGGAGGAATGTGTGTCGGAGCGACTTTGGTATGATGATTCGCATACCCCTTATGAGAAGACCATTTTGAATTCCTAGTTCATCACGATAACTCCAGTATGGTAATGCTACTTCTGGGCACTCACTGCCTTTGGTTGGCCAGCCTCTTTGAATTATGTCAGCAACTACACTAAGGGTGGGATCTGCAGTTGTGGCTTGGTGCACATCCTCAAGACGGGCAGGTGAAGCATGTAGCAAAGTAACTAACTGGTGAACCTTGAATCATTGATACCTTGAATCTCTTCCTCTTCCAATGGAGAGATACGAGAAGGAGCCTCAGAAATTGGTACGTCCTTTCCTAGCATGTAAATGATGGTGAAGTTGTAGCGCTGTGTACGTAGAAACATTCTAGCTAAGCGTGATGGAGCATTTGCTAGGTTCTTATTTGAGATACAGATAGCTTCTAGTGGCTTGTGGTCTGAGTGAGCAATCATATGTCGACCGAACACATAGTAATGAAAGCGTTCTAGACCATAGACTACACCCAACATTTCTCTTTCAATATTGGAGTAACGGTGCCACTTAAGGACTTACTAGCAAAAGCATTGGAGCGCCCCTTGGAGCAGGACTGCCTCAACTCCAGTGCCAGAGGCGTCAACCTGGATGACCAGCTCCTCTGACGGGTCATAGTAGTGGAGGGCGGTGTTCTTTCCTATCTCATCCTTGATTGCAAGAAGGGCATTGTCGTGGGATTAGTGTAGTGGAATTACGATTTTACCCGGAGAAAAATAATATAAAGCTGAAATTTAGCACTTAGGTTCTATACTATACTGGTAATAACCAGAAAAAAAGCCCCATCGATTGGACGTTGGAAATTCCTTATTTGGGCAAATCCCATAATTGCGCATATGAACAGGGGTTCAAATTTCATGTCGCTAAACCATATAGTATGTGCATCTTTTGAAAGACAATTTCATGCTGAACAACTTTTACTCAACATACAAAGACCCTTTAAATGTGGAAATTAGTACTTTTTGGTCAAAAATAGCAGATAGGGGTCAACTGGGCAATAGAAAGTATATAAGTTTAAGAACAGCTTATATACGAATGACACCAAAACATCCGGTGATGCCATCCTAGCCAACAAGGAGCAGGTTAAGAATCCCGCTAAACTTTTTGAAGTTTCAGTGATCCGTGTAATCTGCGGGTACGCAAGGTTTTTAATGCAGAACACGGGAAAGGTAAACCACGTTGAAGTGTATATATTATGTCTCGGGGTTTTCCAAATCCCAAGACCGGGTTTTCCCTTTTTGCAAACTAGATTCCGGGTTTTGGATCCTGGTACTCTCAAAAGACCCTCTTTTTCATGTGCGCCCGTCGCAATTGAAAAAATTTGCAATCTTTGGGATCATACTTAATTTGGAAGTTATCTCTTTTGTAGTAAAGAACGGGCATAAAGGAAATGTCACTGGCCCAGCATCAAGCTGTAGTTTTATGCAGCCGCTTGGAATTTTCACTGAATTTGGCAGTGTTGTTTACGTTTTGGTAACAGAAATTTCTAAGATGGAGGATGTCAATGAAAAAAGTAGAAAAGCACTGCAGTCCACGAAGCCTTCTCTTTGCATATCGCCTCACAATAGTGTAGAAATAAAATTTTAGAAAGTATAACGCAAAGTTGAACCAAATCAGCGCTTTAAACATATTTCTAAAAATTTGAACATCTACCATACAAATATTTCAAAATATATAAACATTTTTTATGTTTTTGATTACGTGAAAACATCAACGAGAGGACTTGAGTTTAAATATGTATGCCCTACCTAAAAATGCATACGTCAAGATTTTAATAGCGATATCTTCATATGACTTGCACCAGTTTAATACTTGATTAAGCATCGGTCAAGGCTAGTATTGAAAATCTTATCAAAAATAGCTTGGCATCTAAAATTTTGCCAATATGTATGAAGCAGAACGCCGATATTTGTTTTATTAGATAGGTTAACGCTGCATCCCTAAGTTTTAGGAAGGATAACGGCGTTATGCTGCGATACCCCTCCACTACACCATTGGTGCCTCATCAATCACAGGGCACACTGCGCTCTGTGCCCAAGGCTCCTACAGTTAGAGGGGTTACAATTTATTTTGAAAAGATTTATGATCAAAATCCATCATCGTATTTAGCAATGTGGTTCATGTTCCTCAAATCCACGACCTATGGCAGTGGCGGCAAGTAGTGGTACTAACGTTACTATACTAGTCCAGAACCACACTATTTATCAGTTTTCCTTTAAACTCTTTATTTGCAAACTACTGCATGTACGCCTTTGCTTTGTGTCGCACAGACATTTGGAATGATGCCGCGCCAACCGCGACACACGAGATGCTGTGGGCTTGAAATCCATTCTGTTGCATCCCATCCAACTGTGATGTCGTGGTACCAGTTTTCAAATTCTAGTAC